TGATGCTGGAATAGCTTGAAAATCGAGATGTTTTTATGCTCACGTGCCTGTAAAGTTGCGTTTCTGCTGTTTGCATTTCATGTTACTCACATTTTCCACTCAGTTTTGCCCATTCAACGAATTTTTTACACGAGTTTTACCTTTCAATTTGTTGCCCCAAGCAGTAAACAAATTTATTTGTATTCGATTTTGTCTCTGTCTGTGTGTTTGTACGAGTATATATACTTATATATAAATGTATCTGTGTATGTGTGTGTGTGTACACAACAACTGTATTTGCTTTTACAATTGTCGCTGCTGTTGCAATCACAATAAAGAATAAATAAAATACAAAACAACGCACTGGACATGCACTCTTTTTCAGGCTAGTACAACGCGGCGTATGCGCGATGCCATTTTGTTTGCCATACTCACAAACACTTATAAATGGTGGCATGCGTGTGTATGAAATTTGAAATGCATGGAATATATTTAAGTTGAAATGTTGCAGCCTGCATAATTTTCCGAGCGCAAATTTTTAGCAACAAGAGCAACAAACCCAAAACACAACTCATTATTCAAACATGAGCGCATCATAAGCACCAACCGCTTGTTATTGTAGTTGTTGCAAGCAAACAAATTTATAAAAGCGTAAAGACTGAAACAAAAATATGTAAATATTGTACAAATTAATGGCGCACTTCCGGTCGCAGGCAACCACACATCCTTTAAATAAAATGTGCATTAAACTCGACGCCGCTCCTTAAGCTTCGGCTTCAGCGATAGGTAGCAACATTTCAATTACGCCCACCAGGCGTGGCTGCCTTCACTCACAGCTAGTCGGGCAGTCCATGCCGCCAGACAGGCATTCAGTCAGGCAAAATTCTGCTTGTCGGGCATTTGCATTTAGGCTGCAATTGAAATATTCCCACGCTACATTGGCTCAAGTTCAGGCAGCTGTCACTCGCACACACACACACACACACACACACAGTTCCACAGACTCCACACATGCTGCTACTTGCCACATGCCCCATGTGGCCCATGTGGCTGTCAGTCCTGAGTTTGGGGCAATTGTGCGCAATTATTTTTACATACATTCTTTACATTTTCAACGCAGCACAATGAATCGAAAAATATGTATACATTAAGAGATTTGCGCAATTATTAAAAATGTGTGTTGTATTATTTATTTTGCCTTTTTATTTGTTTACATTTCCGGCAAGATTTTTACAATGTGTGCTTTTAAAGATATTTTTGATTAATATGTTTACAAAGTGTTTTGCCTTATTTAAGTTATAAAACGCATATACATAAGAGCAAGTATTAAAATTATTGCTCACATATTGCATTTTCTGTTGCGTACTCAGTACTGCGACCGATGCTAATTAGTTAAGATGTTTGACTAATTAAAAACAAAGCCATTGAATTTCAATTCGACTCATATTTGTTAATGCATATAATTCGTTAAGAAATGCAATTGGTGAAACTTTTGATAGAGAGCATTGCATATCAAACTTAGGAAAACTTGCACGCTCACGAAAGTTAAGAAAACTTATTTTTTCGCCCAAGAATTTCCAATTAGCATGCTTTCGCTTACTTCTTCCTCATCTCAGGTGCTTTGTGCACCAGGAAGTTGTTGCTGTGGCTGTCGTTTCACATGGCAGGTGGGCAAGCAGGCACACACTTTTAATTGCAAACACAAAGTTTAACTTAAAACAAAATTAGTTAAGGCACTTAACTAAACAAAGTATAACTGCATTTATATTTTTACTTGATTGCCGGCCACTTACTATGCAAAATATTTGAAAGACATGAAGTAAACGATATATGCTACTCATATCTAATTAAAGTTTATAAGAAGCACTTTTAGCACTTTTTTTTAACTGACGATTAAAACAAGAGCTTATTTCTATTAATAACTTATTATTTTTAGAATGTTTGAAATAAATATTAAAATAATAATACAATCGTATGTAACAGCTATTAGAAGGCGTTGCAGAACCCATTTTATAGGTATATCTATATAAACCGTATAAACCCTCTATCTTAAGCAAATTGCAAATACAATTACAAACATTGTTTTGTATATTTTTTAACATGAGAATGTTATTAATGAAGCCGTGAAGTCTTTACAAGGTATTCAAGACTTGGGTTGACGTGAGCTTTACGTGCTGCTCGTATAGACGAGGTTAAAAGCTGTATTTACATATAAGGGCTTTTTGTTTTAAAATTGTAGTAGGTCCATTAAAATAACATAATCTATAGATTATACATTAACCATCTAATATATTTGATCTATCTCTATATTTCTGAAGGAATCGAATTTATTATCTTTAATATCTTATTAAATATATATTCTATTTCAAAAAAGTTCATTTATAAGAAGAAGATAGTATTCAAAATCTTCTTCAAATTATAAAATGTTAATAGAATGGATATTTAGCAAGCAAGGAAAAAAATGTATACTTCAATACTTGTTCTCCATTTGCCATATTTATTTAAACCAAATAAGTGGTAAACTAACTTCTGAGACTTCTGAAGAGTGCATATTTGCTGATCCCTAACTGTGGAAGTCCATTCAACCATAGCGTTAATTTATTAGCTAAGTTTGTTTTCGGGATGTAACTTAAGCTTTTTTAATCTTTTATACTTGGCTGACATACAAATATTTAGCCTCCATATTAATTAAGAGATGGCGATTCATCAATTTGGCAGTCACACTTTGTCAATCCATTTCAGATTTATCAGTAAAAATTCCAATCAATTTGAAGCCATATAAGAGACAAAGTGCAGAGAATACTCGGACATTTGCAAAATGGGAAACAGCTCTAGTCAAACCACAAAAACGTTGTCTGTGGTCAACATCACGACTAGCCATCCAAATAGAGGACAAAGCAGGTGTGAGGCTGTGGAGACTGCACGTTCAGGCAGGACGGCATGTCACACACATCAATAATTACGTTACACTGGACGAGGGGAAGCACTCATGTCCAGTGGTCGGATGTGGGAGGATCTGCTGGGGACCACCAGAATGACAAACTAGACAACGTTCCATTTCATTTTTTGATTGGGCTTGACGAATGCTCTGCTGAATGGGTGTTGTACTCGTAGTATGTGCTTTTGTGTCTGTATTCTAACTACTGCCATTCACTTAATCAAAAGATTTCACGTCCGACTTACTTACATTATGGTAATTTATCAAATGTAGTTGCGGCTCTTGGCGCTGTTGTTGTTACCGATGCTGCGCAAACAGTTTCCCTTACAACGTCATCAACGAGTGCGCCGCCGTAAATCATTTTGTGTTTTTCTTTGCTCGTTGACGCGTTTTTATTTCTTCCTTTTTTTTGCTTCCCTCTGGTTTTTTATGGCTAGAATTTTGTGGCTGCTCGTGCTGAACGTTGGGCGACAAATATCCGTTCTTGTTGTTATTGCTATTGCTGTTGGTTGTTTTACTTGTTTTTTTTTTCTTTTTTGTATTCGCCTTAACGTCTACCATTTTTCTAGCAGTGCATTGGGAGAGGAACGTGCTGAAACGTCTGAAACTTGCATAACAACTGCACAGAGAAACATCATTAGTTACGTTGCCGTCTCTGCGGTACTTACAAACGTACACACACACACACACACACACACACACACACACACACACACATAGACACACACACCCATACAGACAGAGTAAATTGAAGTTTAAAATAAAACTTTGCAACATAAAAAACGTTATTTACACTGCCTTGCCGTCACCATTTCCCATTTCCACCATTTCCCTTTATGCCTGCCCTCCCTCAGCATTCATTGCACATAAGCTTAGATAAAACCCAGAGAACAAAAGGCCACGCGTAAAGACAAGCGTTGGAAAAAATGATGACAAGTATGTGAATGTGGGTGTTTTCGTTTATAGTTGGAGAGCAGGGGAATGTTGGATGCGTATATACGTGTACATGTGTGTGATGCCAAAGGGTTAAAAAGTGCACAAAATCAGGTCAATTGTTTGCAGGAGACTAAAAAAGAAAGCCACTATAAAAAGCAGAACAAAATGCATGTAAACTTTAAAGACAACGACGAATTCTCATCATTCTCATGGTTGCCTGACAGCAACTGCAAATGAACTTAAAGGCTTTTATGCTGCAGCTTAGCTTCCACAGTCACTTTCGATTAACGCCAATGATTAAAACGACATCGAGTTAAACTGAACGAAAGCGATCGTTTGAAATAGCTTTCGCTCTTAGCGAACTCTCTTATAGGACATTCCTATAAAAGGGCGGTTAACGACCTGGCTCAGACCTTACTTGGACAGAGACATGAAAGAGATTAGGTCGGTTGGTCATTGCAGGCAGATTATGTTATTAATCTTTATATTTCCTTTTCCACATTTTGGAAATGTATAACGATTTAACAAATTTAACACTTTTGATAGATAAAATAAGCTTGAAATCAGGCGATTAAAAATAGTATAAATATCAGTTTTGTATTTATGTTTGTTTGTCATTTATGTACTTCGTTCCTTAAATTTGTATGGTCGCATAATAGTAATAGTTTTGGAACCTTTTCGTTGGTTTTTTTGTTTCATACTAGAAAAGAAAAATAAATTCTTTCTTGGCCGGAATATTTTGTTGCCCTGAAGGTTCTCGAATGACTTTTATTTGTAAATTTGTATATATAAATCATGATGGAATGGGTCGGATCAGCCATGGCAGTCTTTAAATTAAGACGACTATCTTACTACTTATAAGTATACCAAAGATGTGAGTAGGAAATGTTTGAGTTTTTTTCTTACAAGTATTCTACGTCAGCAGTCCTATTTATATAAACTGTTTTCAGTCGACTATAAAATCTTAAGATGTAAGGTCTTATCAATTTTCGAGAATTTAAAATATGTACTGAAATGGGCAAAAGTTAAAATAAAGGGCTTTATTTTAAATACGTATTTTTTGCTATACAGCTATTTTCGTTTTTTGCTTCCTCTTAGACAAAATTTCTCATCTTAAGCCATGTTTCTTTGATCTGTTTCGTTGCAGCTAAACCGTAAGGCAGACAAACAGTCAATTGAGTAGGAGATATCGTGGTACTTAAGAAATTAACAATCGAATTCCACAACAATGTCTAAGCACGCCAATAACGATAATATACGCAACGACATCTACGAGAATCTGCCCTGTCAGGCCATGTACAATGATTCAGTGCGCAAAATGCAGCAGCAGAAATCCGTACAGGCGGCAACAGCTGCGGGGTCGGGGATAACAGGCGCAACGGGCGGAGCACTGTCGCAGCAACTGCTGCTGAACAACATCAGCAATCAGAATGCCAACTCCATAGGCAATGCAACAACCACGTCGTTGACAACCAACAACTGCAACTCGACGGACAACAAGAAACATCCTCAGGGAGCTATTGGCAATATGCCCAAGGAGATGCTGTATGCTACCCCACTGCGTAAATCGGACCGATATAAGAGTGGCGAGCGTAGTCGCTACACTGCGGGAGGTGGCGGCTTGACTAACACTGTGCCTGCCCACGATGCCAAGTTGTCCAATTTGCGCGACTCGAATCGCATGGCGTGTGCCCGCAACGGCAATGCCGTTCAAATCACGGATCTCGACGATGATGACGATGTGGATGGTGCCGCGATAGGCGAAGGCTGTGCCTCGACTAGCGCACTGGTCGGCGGATCTATGTATACCAACCAGCCGACATCGTTGCCTCCGCTGCCATCCAGCGGTACGCCCAATCAGCAGTTAGAGGATCGAAGAATACTGAACTTTCTCAAGGATACATCACAGCTGCACAAAAAGCTGGAAGTAAGTGGCGGACGCGATTGCCCCAATGCCAGCTTTTCGAATCTGGCGCGTGAAGAACACTTTGCGAATCTGGTGCAGCAAAACTTTCCTCTAGAGCTGGCCCAAGCAAATGGAGGGGACAATGGCTTAATTATTGCCAATAGCTCAGCCCCCGAGGAGGATGGTATAGAATGCTTGGGTGCCGTTGGTAAATCCCAGCCAGCTGCAGCAGATACCGATGAAAATTTGGAGGCTATGATGCAGCGAAAGTTGTCGCCAGACAAGGAGGTAAATGGTCTTGTGGTACCTTTGGAGCAACCTTTGCAGGCAAGCAATCGGATTGTAAGTCCGGTTTACATTCATCGCGAGTGGGTGCTAAAAAAAATTGCGCTCTGCCTGGAGCAACGCACAGCTGGAAAAAAGGCAATGCCGGGACTCCTAGGAGCTGCTAAAGGTGAGGCGCTGGGCGCCAGTGGTAGCAGCTATGTCTCGGCACGTGCTAAAGCCGCCGCCATTTCGACGTCCAGCTACAATGGTTGCTTGGTATTGGGATCAAACGGCTCCGGCAAGACCTCTATATGTCAGGCTATTATGAAAGGAAATTCCGGCACAAAAGGCATACTGAATCGAAAACTGCTGGCGTGCTATCTTATAGAATCCCAGAATCCCGAATGTCACAGCCTATCGCTCTTCATACGCAAGGTTGTTCTGCAGTTGCTAAGCCATGCGTCGCTGATTAACAAGGATGAGAGCCAGAAAATCATCGATGAGGGCTTCTCATTTTTGCAGGAAGAGGTGCAGCAACAGGAGTCTAAGCTGGACGAGGCCATGCACAATATAACGCTGGCCGAGAATGCAGAGGATCTGCTAATCGAAGAGCTAAAGCGGGGTGCCAGCGAATTGGATACGAAAGAGCTCGATAATTTTCAAACTAGACGCACATCGACATCCAACAAGCAAAAGTCTAGTCTAACACGACAGCAATCAGAGCCGGCACCAGCAGCAACCGTAGAGGAGTCGGTAGAGAATGTGGATAAGGCTAACAACTATGGAACGCATCCACCCAAGCGCGGGCATAAGGAGCGTGAAGAGCAGGACAAGGATAAGGGTAGTGAGAAGGAGCAGAAACAGGCTCTGGAAAAAGAAACACCCTCACAATCGGCTAAGAGTAGTCCAAGTGGCAAATCCAAATCCAAAATTCCTGTCAAAAGAGGACGCAGCAGCGGTCTATCTTCACCGGCCAAGGTGATCACTGCGACCGCAATTACTTCCAATGGTCAAGCTATACAGCAGGGCGGCGGCGAGGATATTGCCGAAATGGTTAGTGAACAGCTTAAAAGCGAAATAGAAGCGGCGATCAATGAAGATGAAGACAAAGAAGCGTGCGAAGAAAAGCACAAGACGGACGAGGCTACAAGCGAAATGGCAACGAAAGACAATGAAGATCAACCCGAGGCTGATAAAGATTTTGCCGAGAAACAAACATCGAATGAAGAGGAAGCAAAGAAGGAGGCTATAGGTAACAACGAATCACAGGAGGATACCGAACCAAGTTTGGAAAAACCAATTCCTCGGGAGGCACAGGCCCTTAGCTCACCCAAGCACGATGCCTTACCGCCAACGCCTGGCCAGAAACCACGCATCCATACCAATACCCTTCCCCCGCCTTTGCCGAAGACAAAAAGTTGTCGCACTGTCATCGCCGATGGCTATTATGAGCTATTGCTTTCGAACCCTGAGATACTAGAATGCTTAAGTGTTGATAACATTGAGAAAAATCCAGACGAGTGCTTCAAGAAGGCTCTCCTATTTCCATTGCTGGAGCTAACACCACCAAAGACAGCCCTTCTCCTACTGATCGATTCCATAGACGAAAACTACATAAACGAGGGAAACTTAATAACGACATTAAAGGGTGGACGTGGTACAGCCACCAACCACAAGAGTCGCAACGTTGCCGAACTACTCTCCAATCACATTCACCTCTTTCCCAAGTGGCTTTTCCTGGTCTGCACCACCAAGAAGCAAACCAAACAGATTACCAAAATGTTTACTGGCTTTAAAAAGATCACGCTGGATGATCTGCGTAAGTCTCATGTGGTTAAGGATGTGCAGGAGTACATTATAAATCGACTAAACTCAGACTTTAAGGACAGCATCATGCTGACCAAGGAGATCATTGAGTCATTGCATCAACTCTACATTAAATCCAACGGTTGTATTCTTTATTTGGAGAAGGTGCTGAATGGCATCAAAGAGAACTTCTTTAGCTTCCGCGAAATTAAACTAATTCCATGCACCCTTAATGGACTGTACCTTTACATTTGTCAGAAGTCCTTTAACAAGAAGCAGTACATGAAAATACGACCTGTGCTCAATATCCTTCTTGCCTCCTCTGGTTACGTAGACAAGCTGTTCCTCTTCAACTGCTTACGCACCCATAACTACACCATTGACTGTGCAGAGTTCGAAAAACGACTCCAGTTAATGCGCAACATCCTTGCATATGACTCTAACGCTCAGCGTTTGAAGATCTTTCACAATTCCTTCTCCGACTGGCTGGTGGATGTAAAATTTGCCACAAAGAAGTTCATTTGTGATGTCAATGAGGGGCATGTTATGATCTCTATGTACTATTTGCTTGTGGCAGATACACTCTGCGCCAACAGCGTACGGCGTTTTGCCTACCATCTCATAAAATCGGGCGAGTTTTTGAACAGTCGCAATGTGGACCTGGACTTGATACTTATTCTGCTTGAATCGCGCGTTAATCTCAGCGACTGTTTCTACACAAATCACTTGAATTGTTGTGCTTCATGTGAGCACGATTTTAAGTATGACCCCAACTTTCTGGCAAAGACCCGATCGATGGTTGAAAAGTTTTTAACCAATGACTTGAGCGATGAGTTTTCGCAGTTCTTGTACGACTTTTTCAAACCTAGCTTACCTACTGACGCGAAGACACTGAAGCTGCTTATTGAGACGGGCATCAACAATGCTGAGACCCAAGTAAGTGGAATTTACGAATACTAAGCTCACAAACATTTATTAATCGTTGTCATATTTTACAGAATTCGTGCGAATCGTCACTTATGTCACCGGAACTATCGGACAAGTCGCAGAACATTGATTTTGAACTTGCTGACTTGCTGCTCTCCAGTGAGAAATCGTGCATTCTGGAAACTCAACGCGCCACTAGTCCCTCGGAGAAGAGTGAGCCACATCACGAAAGTCAAGATGAAAATGCTTCGAGTACACTTCATCAGCTCTCCGACTCCAATCATATTGAACTTCACAAGGGCAAGGCACTCATCCACATCCTGGCCAACGATGGCAATCATCAGCTGCTAGAGCGTGCGCTGAACGCCTGCAAGAGTCCCATCGATTTAGAGATCGAGGATTATAATGGACAGACAGCACTTAACATAGCCGCTCGCAATGGTCATTTGGAGATTGTTAAGCTTTTGCTAAGCTTTGCGCAACCCTGTAACGATGGCACGGGACGCATGAAACGTGTCGATGTTAATCATGCCGATAGGGATGGATGGACTCCTTTACGCTCGGCTTCCTGGGGTGGTCATACGGAGGTAGTTAAGTTGCTTATCGCGCAACCCGCGTGCAAGATAGATCTTGCCGACAAGGAAGGACGCACAGCGTTACGAGCAGCTGCGTGGAGTGGCCACGAAGATATACTTAAAATACTTATCGAGTCGGGCGCCGATGTAAATTCGGTAGACCGACAAGGTCGCACCTCGCTCATTGCTGCTTCCTACATGGGACATTACGATATTGTTGAGATTCTGCTTGATAATGGCGCAAATGTGAATCACTTGGACTTGGACGGTCGCAGTGCACTGTGCGTTGCCGCACTTTGTGGTTCTTCTGGCTACAGCAAAGTCATTTCTACACTATTAGATCATGGAGCAAACACGGATCAGTTGGACAACGATGGAATGTCGCCGCTACTGGTCAGCTCCTTTGAGGGCAATGCGGAGGTGTGCGAATTGTTGCTCGAGAACGGTGCAGACCCCGATCTGGCCGATTTCATGGGTCGTACGCCACTCTGGGCTGCGTGTACGGCTGGCCATGCCAACGTTGTGAAGCTACTGTTGTTCTGGGGCTGCGGCATCGACTGCATGGACTCCGAGGGGCGCACAGTACTGAGCATTGCCGCCGCGCAGGGCAATGTAGAGACAGTTCGTCAATTGCTGGATCGCGGCCTCGATGAGACCCATCGAGACAATGCAGGCTGGACGCCACTGCACTATGCTGCTTTCGAAGGTTTCCATGAGGTGTGCGTGCAGTTGCTGGAGTCAGGGGCCAAGATAGACGAGTGCGACAACGAGGGCAAGACGGCTCTACATCTAGCTGCCCAAGAGGGTCGACTGCGTTGTGTGCAGGTGCTGCTCGACATACACTCGACATTTGTGGATCAAAAGGCGCACGATGGTAAGACAGCCTTCCGATTGGCCTGTCTCGAAGGTCATCTGGAGACAGTAGAGTTTCTGCTCAAGTTTTGTTGCGATGTGAACTCGAAAGATGCGGACTCGCGCACTACCCTCTACATATTAGCTCTAGAGAACAAGCTGGATATTGTAAAGTACCTGCTGGACATGACTAATGTGGATGTTAATATACCGGACAGCGAGGGACGCACGGCTTTGCATGTGGCTGCCTGGCAAGGACATGTCGACATGGTCAAGTTGCTCATCACTCTGGGTAAGACTGCAGACTTTACGATTATTAAATTATACTTCAGCTTTTTGACGAGACATTTTATTAATTATAGGCAATGCAGACGTCAATTCCATGGATCTGGAGGCACGTACGCCTTTGCACTCATGCGCCTGGCAGGGCAACCATGATGTCATGAATATTCTACTCTACTTTGGTGCGGTTGCCGATCATGCCTGCAAGCAAGGTGCTACTGCGCTCGGCATTTCCGCACAAGAGGGTCACGAGAAGTGTGTTATCGCGCTGCTTCAGTATGGAGCCAATCCCTACAAGTCCGACCATTGCGGTCGTACGCCCATCAAGCTGGCCGCTAAGTCGAGTCGCACCAGCATCCTTAAGATCTTCGAAAACTATACCAAAAGTAAGCTCCACAAATTGCGCCGTTTCTCGCTTCGGTATTAATCGCTCGGCTTTTCCACCCCTTCTAGATGAAGCTAATAATCCCATCGAATCGAAATTCCATCCCAGCATGTTGCGCTCACCTGACCAGCCACCCGCTTTACCCTTACACCAAAACCTCGCACTGCAACCCGTGCCGTATCCGGCTCATGCCTCTGCCTCATCCGTTTGCTCGGCGGCCACCACAGCCACCGTACACAACGGCAACAATCTGCAGGCTCTCAACGCGTCCACCTCGACGCACAGCTCCAACAACTTCTACCAAAACACCATGCAATCGGATGCGAGCAGCTTGCATAAACGCAAGAGCGTCATTTCTAGTCAATCGACGGGCAGCAGCAACGATGTAAGTTCTTATTTACTGCCTCCACCTTTTCATCATTATTGCTTCCGATCTTACCTTTTAATATTAATCGGGGCTAAATAAATGAAAAAGACAATTCTTTTAAATTGATAGAATAGAATAGAATAAAATGTAAACACAAGCGGTCCATCACAGTCGAACTTTTGGATGCTGTCAGTCACAATGCACTTTTAATGCGAGAAAAAATTAAGTGTTCTTATTGTTCAAAGCTAAATTGAGAAGAAACTTAGAAGAATAACGTTTTCATTTCAAAATATGTATATAGCCTCAGCTTTTACTTATTTTAACTTATTAGTGAGACATTCGATAGGGACAACCGTGTCGCTTATTCATTTCGTCACTCATTAACACTGCATCAACTTCTCACTTTGCCATTTTCGCACATTTTCACATGCAGCAAGCGCCCCTCACCTTCACACAGCAATTGCAGCGTCAAAGCAAACTCAGCTCACGCAATAATCCCTTCGTGCAGAACGCACCGATGGTCAGCTCGAAGCATGGAGGCGCTGCAGCCTCAACGTCGGCAGCATCAACATCGGGCCACAAGTCAGGAGGAGTCTCACATCAGCGTCACTCCCAAGTATTGCCCGATCTCAGCGAACATCAGTTGGGTGAGTTTTTAAATGTCATGTTCTTGGACGATTCCAACACCTAAAACAACCGAATTTCTCCCTTGCAGCGAGCAACATGACGAACGATGCGGATTTGTATGACATGGAGTGCATGTCGCCGCTATATGCTACGCCCCCGCACTCGCCTAGCAGCGAGTTGAGCTCGCCAGGTCAGCTGCCGGCACTGAATGCCTTTGTGGATGATGAGAGGGCGGGTGCAAGTGGCGGCAAGCCTGCCTTGCCCGATAATCATTTTGCACGCGACACTCACATGCGCATTATCCTGGGAAACTTGAAGGAGAACCAGCCCAGTTCATCCAGGTAGGTCGATATTTCAGATATTTCATGTTTGAATCTCATGTCAGATTGATTAGCGATGATTGTTGTTTGTTTCATTCACGATTCTGAAAAAAAGAAACCATTTAAACTTACCGCTCTATCGTACTATTGATATACATATATACAGTCGGCTCTCGTTAATTAAAACCTGCGATAATACGAACCTATCTATAATTCAAAGTTATCACGAGTTACCTCGAAAATCTCTTTATATTTCGGACTATATCAATACATTTTTATGCACTTGGTAATTCGAACGAAAAAATCATTGCTATATAGTATAACAAAACGACGCGTTAATTCAATCTCATCGGCGTCCAGCACTCGACAATTCAAAGTTGCATAGAGAAAGAGGCGGTAAGTACATTTTGCGACAAGTTCAAACTTGTATCAACGTTCAGGTACTAGTCCCGCCCGTCGCACCGCACTTATACCACCAAGCAGACCCAAAAATCGACTTCTGCACATCTAACGGTCACCGCTCAAGATCCATCCCGTTAACTGTTTTTTTATGATTAGTTTGGCTATTTGACACACACTTCACAAAAATTGGTTCGTTTAGTTATCATTCAGTTACAATTACTCTTTTCACTTTGTTATATAATAGCAGTTTATAAATAGTAATTGAACAACACTTAATAATTCGAAGTTTTATTTATTTTCTCTCACAAATTTCGAACCATTTGGTATTTCAAACTCTCGAAATTTCGTAATATTTTAAGAGTCCATCGAGTCTCGAATTAGCAAGAGTCGACTGTATATATAATTTTGGTATTCCTTACCAACAGGACAGATTTAAAAATAATGCCAACATCTTCTATATTTGATACTCGAATTTGTAAACCGATTGCCACACAAATAATACCAAAATAAATAAAATCAGGATAGATTAAATCATTATAATTAAGAAAAAGGAAGATTAATCAAACCTCTTCATTAAAATAATCCCTTTTCTTGTATTTAACAGCAGCAAGAGCAAACGCAGCGGTGGGTCCACCAATCCGGCAATGCGGCTCATTCGCAGCCGTTTCGATTCGGCCGCCCAGCTGATCCGACGTACCAACAACATACTTTCCTCCAGCAGCAATCAGGGGTCGTCGAGCATTGGCGTCAAGTCGGGAACGTTCCAGTGGCGCAAGGAGAGTCAAATGTAAAAGTCTCCACAAACACACACACGGACTCAGACACACAACCACACTTACATATACTCAATTGTGTACTTGTATTTTATTGAGTTATTTATTAATTTCTACTTTTGAAAAAGTATTTGATTTTGTGATAGTTTCAATTATTTGTGCTCTTTTGTTGTATGTTTATTTAACTTGTATTAACTTATGTATACTATGATTTACATACATATTTAAGCACATTTATGTGTAGCGCAGTCGTAAATTTAGGCAGAAAGTCAGCAAATCTGGCAAAATAAATGCTTTTTTTGACTCTGCAGCTCACTTCTTATTTTCTTTAGAGTGAAAGTAACGTTACATCAATTAAAATATAAACAAATTTAAATACGATTTATCTATAACATGAAACATTTTGGAAATAACATAAATTTTCACCGTATACTCTAGTGTTTGATTGCTCTAAACTAACTTCGGCTGGTCGAAGTTTTCAAAACTTTTGGCAATTGAATTTAGTTTTTAGTTAGACGCCATGTATGTACTACTTACACATATTTCGATTACCAATGGCTAAAAAATATGACCCTTAATTTAGTTTTAATTATTTTAATTTGTAGTGCATATATAGTTAAATAACATACGTACTGACATTATTGCTAATTACAAAAGTTTAAATAAGTTGCATGAGTAGCACGATCTTGAAACCCTTAAGTAGACCGTAAATACCTACCTTTTTAATTAACTAAGAACAATATTTAATATGAATAAACCACTTAAAACACACACAAGAACAAGCAATGAAAATCCTTTTTACATTTCCTCTCGAATATCGGATTGGACTCATTTGTTATCATCGAAAATTTTACATATACATACATATGTAACACACTCTATAATTTCCTGTCAACCCCCAACGACTATTTGCATATGCAAAGGTCAACACAGCCTATGCCACACAACAACTACCTGTAGAGATAAAAAAAAAACTACATACAGAAACTCTCATACACACATAAATACAGTTTAATAACTATTTTCTGAACTTCTACTCTCACTGCAAGGCAGCAACAAAGAAACAAACATAAAAACACACACGGATACAACGTACTTGGCTAAGAAATTAAGCAGAGTTTAACAGCGAAATGTTGATTTAAAACACACAAACCCATAACGTAATTAATTGTTAACAACAAATATGATATTGAGCAGAATACTGAATTGTTTAAACATACATATGAAGATATATATATTCTATATTTAAAAACAAAACGCATATTTACAGTTAAATTAAAAGGTAAAAATATACACGAAAGGAAGTAATACACATTTAAAAAAGCAGAACAAATATTCACTAAACATTCACACACACACACATTCACAACACACGCCTACATACAGAAGGACACAGAAAATGTATAACCAAAGAAAACACAGATTGGGAAGTAATATATATATACAATACATTTATATTATACATTAACATTGTAGTGTTGTAGTTTTGATGGAAATTGCATTCGCGTTTGACAAAGCAATGAAAATTATTGAAAAAAATCGATACAGGAACATTTACAGCAATTCTGAGTGTGTTAAACTTAAATTTCGCGCATTAACGACGACAAAATTAAAAGATAACTGAGCATATACATATATGAATAAAACTATATAAAATACAAAACTTTAAATAAAGTGTATATTCATACAAATAACTTCAGCCAAGTGTTTAGCTATTTTGCCCTAGGAATGTGTGCATGAGCCGCCGCCTACTCCTTATTACTATCGACGAGAATCTTGGGATTGGCCACACGAAACACATTTGGCACCATGCCGGCCAATGTTGTGAAGAGCTCCTCAGATATATCGTGTGGCAGCAGAAGCTGGAGCGTGCTGCAAAGGCGGAAAAGAGTTCAGATTCATTTATTCAGCTAGTGAAAAGTCAACTCACCTTAGCTCCGCACCACCCCAGGAGGCAGATTCAATCATGAATCCTTTGGCGCATTTAAAAACTAATTCAGCGCGACGCATACACCATTGGACAGTCATGTCCTCGCTCATCTCATGCCTCAGGAGGGCGGGAATGGTCAGGGTTGTGATGTCATGTCGACTGGCAGTCTTCAAAATGTTGCGCAGGCCCAAAATGACCGCATGCCGGGAGTTTATCTCACTGGGACTGTTGATGGGCTCGTCCGAGATCAAATGAAAGATGACATGGGACTGGGAGAGATTAGAGTGTCTGGTTATGAAGAAATCACCAGTCTTAAGTTTGGGTGCGTGTGTTTTAATCGGCGAACCATTCGCACTGCCATTGCTCACATCAGCACTGCTTCCGTTGCTAGGCGTGCCTGAATCGTTCGTATTAAGGGCGCGTATTTTCTGCTCAATCTTCTCCATCTGCACGTCAACCTGAGAAGGAAGCAGGAAAGATTAGAGCTGCTACGTATTGTAGTGATTTGTTTGAATTCCAATCACCTGATCGAAGTGGAATTCTGTCGACAAATTTGCATTTTTGATAATGCTTTTATTGGCCTGTGCCTGTATCGAGGGTGTAAGTACTACCACACCACAGAGCGAGCTGGAATAGAGACCCAATGCCATGTTGAGGCCATTCAAGCTCTCCTCCGCATGCAGTGGGCTGCACAATTCTGTCACGTTGGCGCTGAGGATGCGAATGTTGTGCATGTGCTTTAACTGCGAGCCCAAATGTATGGTGAAGCTCTCCTCCATTGAGGGCTGTTGAGAAATAAACATGGACGAGCGATTGCCCAGTGGTGTGGCCACTGGCGAGGTCTGGAACATTTGGCTAACTTGTCCAGTTATCCAGTTGCGGTACTCGTTCTTCTGATGGCCCATCGTGGCCTCCAGCTCAGACTCATATCGTTTGCGCACAAAATTCTGCGTTGTGTATTGTTGTGCAAGCAGATTATTAATGTCGTCAGATGTAGTTGTTATGTCCAGCTGGTTGATTTGGCTGTCCATTTCCTGCTGCTGTGAGTTGTTCAGCGTCTCCACCTCCTCATCCATGCGTCCAGTCAGATCGGCTATTACCTTGGCATAAGCGCGTTCCCGCTTCAGAATGTCCTCCAGCGAGGATGAGTGGACCAAACGATGAAAACTCTGTGCGAATATATCCTCATCGCTTGGTCCTACGCGATCTGCAAACTGCAGCAGCTCCTCTTTGTACAAACGCTCAGTATTGCGCACTATGGCCTCCAAATCCAGTTCTTCGTTGGCTGCCTGTTTAATCAAGCTCTCGGCATATTCATCCAAATATTTTTGGTGCTCCTCATCTATGAAGGATTGCAGCTCCTTTTCCAGATCTAGTTAACAATTATCGTTAATATTTTAGTTACTCATCAATTCCCTAGCAATGGCATACTTATATTCTCATCCAAATAGCGCATCATGGGATGCATCTGAGCCAGTAGTTGAGTACACAAATCCTCCAAATTATCGTTGTCATAACAAAACGGAAATGCAATGTCAAGGGACGCCACGCAGTCTTTATTTTCATGATCCTTGTATTTATAAACAAACTTAACGTTACGCGTTGCGTCTTTTACTAGCGTTCCCATCATGCAAGCCCGTATTTATGTGCTACTTTTTTATTGTTGCATTTTTCCAAATACGCCCACAGCGGATTCGCTAAAATCAGCAGTTTTGTAGAGTTGCCTCGTAACTCGAAAAATTGTGTTAAGGTGTGTATACACTGGCGCAGATTTAAATAGGGCGCAATGCAAACTATTTGAATTCGTAGCCCGAGAAAATGTACCCTTTATGGCGAAACATACATACTTAATTCACACCCTGGGGATTCATGTCGACAAGAAAATGCCGACTCGGCATATTTATTTAATTATTCTAATTGGTAAAATTGAATAATTAAACAAAGATGGGTAGAACGCATATTTCGGGCGTTGGGAGGTTTCAAATGACCAGCCTTTGAAAACAGCCTCTCCCAGACTCTAGTCTCTTGCTTTTTGTATAATTTGCAACAAGCAGAAACGGAATCTAAAAAATTAGATATTTTGGCTTGCTTTTGCGTTATACTGTGAAATAAGCGAACCCAGAACAAAATAAACTGGAAATAATAAAGAGATGAGAACAAATATAAAAATCGATTTCACTTATATATCGTATTATCGGTATCATTAAATATCGCTTTTTAATATCGATACGCATCTCTAACTCTACCAAATTTTGTTCGCAATGTTAAGCCCAATGTCACGAAAAAAAAAATAACAGATGGCCAGGAGAATCGTTAGTTTCCATTAAAGACACCCAAATTGAAAAACAACTTTAACTATTTAATGTGTGTTCTTTATTGTTTAGCGTAATAAAAATAAAAACAAGTAAACAATAACTATGCTAGTCTCACGCTTTCCGAGCAGCTTCGCTCCGTGGACTGAGCGTGGTGGAGACACCTGAAAATTAATTTTTTTTTTCTGAGCGGAAAACTTACCCCTTATTTCCCAACCGGATGGGAGGCTGATGATGCAGGACGTTATACAGCAGCGCGTGACGAGCAATTTTTGCAAGCAATTATAGGATTGTCCGCATGTGTGACTGAACAGCGTGCTGGCCGGCCGCCTTTTTAGCGATTCAGTCAACTTGCAACAGAAATTACAATAATACATAGTTGTGAATTGCATAATATGGTGAATGTGCGTGATTGCCATTAATGAAATCATAAATTATAAATGAGATGAACGAAAAAATATTTCAAAATGAAAAAAATGTAAAAAAAAAAAATAAAGTGCCCACCCACAAATATATAACCGCTACAACTTGCTGGCTCTGGCTCTACTCGCTGCTGGCCTTTTAAATTCGATTCGAATTTTTGTTCGATATCGACTTGCACTTACACTGCACTGCGCTGCTGTTCTCAATCGCTGCTGCTGTCCTGTTTTCGAAAACTTATGCTCTAGGAAGTATATAAGGACGAGTACACAAAACTACGCTTTAACTAAACAACAGTTTTTAGTTTTAGGTTTATGTTTTGTTTTCTTATCGAGTTTACATTAATTCTTTGCTGTTATTGTAATATTATGTATTTTGTAAATCTTTCTTTGCTACATCAATAAAATGTATGTTTTTTTTTTTAACTTAGCTCCTCCTCCCTCTGCTAAAATTATTTAGTTGTGTATATAGAACTCGTACATACAATTATTTGTGGTTGATTAAAACTAAACATTGAAGAATATGTAGGTAATGTTAAATGTTCCGCAATCGTCATATTCAATCACTTAATAAAAAATGAAGCTCCTCTCTGCGGGACACAAAAATGTCACCGAGTTACGGATCTTGAATGAATTTTAGATAAATATTTCTACAGCATTGCAAGCCAACCTGTCAGATTGGTCACGCATGCATTCTACTTTAAAATTATAGAATCTTAATCCTATAGAAAATGGTAATACATTTAGATTTGTTTTACTTCTTCGCTAAATTATCAATTACCGGGAATTGCAATTGTCTGCAGTGGTTTCTCTTTTCACGTATATGTACGTATAGATTTGGGTTCTATAATTATCATAAATATTATATATGGGGACTGTCGCTTGAAGTATTCTTTCTTACAATTCTGAATAGTTAATGTATTTTACAGATACAGATTGATTTTATGTTAAAATTGTTGCTCTCGCTAAACAAAACAACCGTGGCTTGCTATTTTACAATTTGTTGTATGTTTTAGCTACATAAGACTTTTGGGAGATGAGTATATATGTATGTAATGCTAAAGATATTGAATATTAGATGCGTTCGTATCGAGTAACCAATGTTTTGAGACAGACGGTAATTGTTGGCTGGCTGGCTGGCTGGCTCCTGGTACTTATACAGAATGCCTATATACCAACAAACTGTGCAATGCAAATCAATCAACGATCCTGGTCAGATCCTGTGTACGTAACGTGTGCTTGGAGATTTGAGAGACTTCCTGCTTATTATATGTATAATAACACTGCACTGACTGTCTCATTACTGACTGCCACTGTCTCTGCTCTCACAATTTGTTCTCTGCTCTGAGCTCTCTCACATGGTTACATTTGGGGTTGGATTGGGTTATGTGGTGTTCTCTGTTCTCTCACTTTTCTCTCTCCTGTTCTTTCGTAAAACTTCTTAGTATATGAACGATCGCTCATATAATTGAATTATTGCGTATGGTTTAATTGATATTGACTTTTGGGCTGCAAAGGAGCCACTGCTAATTTATCACCTATAAAAATGTCGATAAATAAGAAAAGTTATTTAAAAGGTTTTTATATTCTTAAGGTGCATTTTGATTTTTTTGATTTTTCAAATAAAATGCAGCTAAATACGTTTACAACGAAATAAAATATAGAAAGAAGGCTGATTAGTATAATACACAAAAAAAAAAAATCAAGGAAAATAAAGTGGTTCAAGGTAAGGTACTCAGTCCTATATGCTGTTACAACTACCAAGGATTAGCTCGACTTGGAGTAAAACTCAAATAACCTAATTCTAAAATGTGGGATGCTTTGAAAAACTAAACGAAACATTAAGTAGTAATATGTTGTTGTACTTAATTAGATAAGTAGGTGAGTAGTAGTTGGATTAATGGGCTAACTGACGCTTCTGTTGAAGTGGTTGGAGAGGCATTAACTAATTTAATTGCTAGGCTCACCTTTTGGGCGCTTAATATCTGCGGTTGTTTCCACCGTTATTGAAGCCCTGATTGTTTCCGCCGCCATAATTGCCTTGGTTTCCACCGCCTAAAAGAAGAACCCAAGAATCCCTTAATAGAAGAATCTAACCAATAAACTAAAACCATTCTGATCTCTAAGCAAAATGAAAGGAAAATTTCGTAACTGTGACGAGGCCGCGTGTTAGATCGTACAGGATTATATAGTACATACGCCTAACATAGCAAAAGCCGACGTCTGATATTCGATCTCACAGCATTTAACTAAAGAGCTAACTGCCAAACACTACGACGTACAGACGTTCCAACAGTTAGTGTCATGAGTACTGTGAAAGTTGTGTAGGTGATGATGTCGTATGTGGGATATAGAGAAAGCATAAAAATCGTAATACACATTGCCTATTTTATTGAAAATTTTCAGCTGTGCGATTTTACGATGTTACGATTTTCGGCTTTGTTAGAGTACGAAATATTAATCTATCTTACTTACCAACTTTATTAAAATTGCCGCCCTGATTGCCGTAGGGTTGCATGCGATTGTTGCCAAAGTTGCCTCGCTGGGGACCGCCGCCATAGTTCTGTTGGTAGCCAAAGTCGTTACCGCCGCCATTACCCCAGTTGCCACCGCCACCACCACCGAAGTTACCGCCGCCATTTCCGCCCCAATTGCCACCGCCATTTCCATTATCCCAGGGACCCATGTTGTTGCCCCAGCAGTTGCTACCTCCATAACCACCGCCTCCGAAATTGTTGTTACCGCCTCCCCAGTTATCGTTTCCGCGATTGTTGCCACCCCAATTGCTTCCATTTTGATTAAAATTGCCGCCACCCATATTGCCTCCGCGATTACCCCCACGGCCACCCGGCCCACGACCGCCGCCACCTCCACCACCGCCCATTTCGCTCTGCTTAGGCAGTGCCTTCTTTACATCCACCATTTTTCCATTGACCTGGTGTTGTTTTTGCACTACAAAGAAAACATAAGTGAAGGTCAGGAATCAATTAGCGGTCAAATGCAAGTTAAAGTGTGAATTAAAGATAAACTGAATGTTTTAGGCTTGTGCCAAATACTTTTTTATCGTTGACTCATAGGTGAGACAACAACATTAATATAATACTGGCTAAGTTTTGATCTCACAGTCACGTAACGCCGCACGAATACATCAATCATTACTGTGCGGAGCTGGGACTGTGTATGAATGGACATACAAATATTGTTGGAAAAGCTTAGTACGCCTAGAAAAGCCTTAGTACGCGTAACATAAACTTACCTAACTCATTAATACAGAAACGGAAAAAACTTATTATTAGTGCCCATAAATCTCAAGATATTTCAATTTCCGACAACGCACAAATAATAACTACAAAACTGTGTCTTTTTGACGAAAAAAAAAAAAAAAAAGTTTAAGAGGAAATATTTTGTAACGAGGCTGCGTGTTACGCTAAATATGTTGAAGTTTACATTTGCATAACATAGCTTAGCCGACGCTTTGATTTATCTTACAGCGTTTAAATAAAAATCGTCGAAGCATTGTAATATTGCTTGACAATTTGTCAGTACTGTATGTATATATACATGTATTGTACATATGAATAAGTGGTATAGGGGTGCTTGAACCAACAAAGGGTTGACTGAACTGTGCCACATACTTTTTTATCAATTAGGCATATAGATGGTGCGCAATTAACAACGATATAATGTGTGCCTATTTAGTCTTACAGTCACGTAACGCCGCATAAACACATCAATCATTGCTATGCGGAGCTGGGACTGTGTATGAATGGACATACAAATATTGTTGGAAAAGCTTAGTACGCCTAGAAAAACCTTAGTACGCGTAACATAAACTAACTTAACTAACTCATTAATACAGAAACGGAAAGAACTTATTATTAGTGCCCATAAATCTCAAGATATTTCAATTTCCGACAACAATGCACAAAGAATAAATACAAAACTATCTTTTTAACGAAAAAAAAAACGTTTAAGAGTAAATATTTTGTAACGAGGCTGCGTGTTACGCTAAATATGTTGAAGTTTACATTCGCATAACATAGCTTAGCCGACGCTTTGATTTATCTTACAGCGTTTAAATAAAAATCGTCGAAGCATTGTAATATTGCTTGACAATTTGTCAGTACTGTATGTATATATACATGTATTGTACATATGAATAAGTGGTATAGGGGTGCTTGAACCAACAAAGGGTTGACTGAACTGTGCCACATACTTTTTTATCAATTAGGCATATAGATGGTGCGCAATTAACAACGATATAATGTGTGCCAATTTAGTCTTACAGTCACGTAACGCCGCATAAACACATCAATCATTGCTATGCGGAGCTGGGACTGTGTACAAAATCTTAGTACATATGCTACTTACACACAATCTTGTCCACGGGATCGTAGTCATCGTATTCGACGAAGGCAAAGCCACGCTTCTTGCCCGTTTCTTTGTCCATTACAATGTTAATGTCCACAATGGAGCCAAAATGTTGAAAGTAGTCACGCAGTGACTGCTCATCATGGTCGTCCTTTAATGCGCCGACAAACAGTTTTTTAACCGTGGCGCCAGCATTGGGGTTGTCAATGTCTTGACGTGGAACAGCGCGCTTGGGTTCCACAACACGCCCGTCAATCTTGTGCGGTCGGGCCTTCTGGGCGTCATCAATCATGCTCGAATGCGAATAGGTAATAAAACCGAACCCGCGGGAGCGCTTTGTGCGCGGATCCTTCATTACAACGACATCGACTATCTGACCCCATTTCTCGAAGTGAGCCTTCAGATTTTCATCGGAGGTGCGATAGTCCAGACCACCAATGAACAACTTGCGCATATGCTCCGGTTCGGTAATGGAGTCCTTTATAAACGCACATGAAAATAAAAGCATATTGATTTTTCACACAGGCCGAAAAAAAAGTAACCTAACCTCTACCCAGACTGCATGACACATGTACATTTTCAAGATGGCGGCAGTCGCGCACATAGAAGTGAAAAATATGTTCCCGCCCGTAATCACCATACTTACATCATCATGCTGGCCATTGGAGTTACCATTTTGATTGGAATTATCATGAGCTCCCATTTTTTTTAAACTTAAACTTCTAATGTTACTATTTTAAATCAATTAATAAAAGATTTTCCCACACTCCGCAGAATGAAAAAACGCCACCTTGTTCTACACAAGCACGAAAGAAAGTAATGCTTACTAGAGCTGCAAAATGAATCGATGCAGAATCGATTTAATCGATGTTTAGCATTTTTGTTAAGCATCGATTTTATTTGTTGAGAATCGATTAATCGTGTAAATTTAAATGAACACATTTGTTTCAAGGTGACGCTGAGTGGCTAAGCGGTAAAAGTAAAATTAATAATTGCCAAATAAATCAAAACATTACATTTTCTTTTATATTTTTGATTATATTGGTGTGTTGGTGGCTTGGAGAAGAGGAGGGAAACGGATAAATGGATAAATTTTTGAAATCAGGTAAGAATTTATGCCTCATTTAGTTAAGCAGTGAGGGGCACTCCGACATGTGACATATGTATGTATGTACAAGTATGTATGTATGTACACGTATATTTTATGCGCAAAACTGCACACATTTTTGTATATACATACATATGTGCAAAATAAATATGATTGTTACGCATGATTTTTGTTTTCTGTGCACATAAACGCAGCTTAGTTTTAATTAATTATTGCATTATTGTATGTGTACTATTTACATTGATATATTTTTGTATGTAAACCCTTTAGCGGCACAACTATTTACATTTTTTATTTAATTTTGGTTTTTAGGTAATATCAAGGAAGTTGACGAGTCCGTGGAGCACAGTGGCAAGCGTAAGGGAAGGCAAAAGTCCGACATTTGGAATTTTTTTACAAGGCTGCCAGGGGGAACCTCTGCAAACTGCAAAACTTGTGGTTTGGATTATAGAACAGGTGGAAACACAACAATCTTGTTTAATCATCTATTGCGGGCTCATACGACTTTGTCCCATGAGTCGAAGCCTGTGGCGACCATAAAAACTTTCTTCAGTTCAAACAATTATTATGAAAACAATTCCGCGCATAAAAAGGAGCTTGACAAAGCATTAACCCGCATGATTGCCATTGATATGCAACCCTTTCGCATTGTTGAAGATCGTGGATTTCGTGATTTCGTTTATTACCTTAATCCAAGGTATATATTGCCCAGTAGGACAACTTTGAGAAACGTGCATCTACAAAATATGTACAACGAAATGAAAGAAAAACTTGTTCTGATTCTCAATAACGTAGAATACTGTGCCGTGACAACGGATAGTTGGACATCGCGGGCGAATGAATTTTATGTCACAGTTACTTGCCATTTCATAGACAAGAACTTTGTATTAAGAGAAGCTGTTTTATCAACGAACAAACTTGATATTGATACCGATCACACAAGTAATAACATAGCTGACTCTTTGCGTGCAGTACTGTTGGATTGGAATATTTTATATAAAACTTCTACTATTGTTACGGACAATGCAGCAAATATGATAAAAGCTTGTGAAATTCTGAAGAAAAGGCATTTGCCATGCTTAACCCAAACCTTGTAATTCAGGATGTATTGGCAAGCGGATTGTCACCTTTTTTAAAAGCAGTTCTATTGCATATGCAAAATTAAAAGCCGCTCAAAATGATGAAAACCCCCTTAGCCTAATACAGGAAGTACCCACGAGATGGAACAGCTCATTCAAGATGATGGAAAGAATTATAAAATTAAACAGTAACATTTCTTCTGTGCTTCTTAGTACTTTAAAAGCACCTCATCCATTGACTGCGGATGGCATAAATATAATGAAGGACTTAGTTTGCTTGTTTATGCCCTTTGACACTGCAACCACCCGGGTCTCTTCGAGCAGCATAGTTACAATTTCCGAAATAATTCCGACTACAGTTGATCTATACCATCGCTTACACAATGCAAAACTGGCACTTAAGACAGCGGAAGGAATAAAAACCTACAACTCTTTGATAGATGGAGTTAATCGTCGCCTTGCACCTTTTGAAAATCGAAGCGTAGCTCAACTTGCAACGATTTTTGAACCAAGATTTAAAAAAGAAGGGTTCGGTTGTTCTTCCACCGCCGATGCAGCAGGTTTTTTGTTGCAAAATGAAATTGCAGCTTGTAGTTCATACGGAAATCCGACTCCCGACATCGAAGAGCCACCAACACATCCTGATTATCCAAGCACTAAAACATTGCAAATTTATGCATTTGTGCAGGACAAAATAGCACAAAAACAATCAAGAACCCCGCGAGCAGATAATATTAGTGAGACAATACTTAGAAAAACCTCACGAGTTGCAGGGCACACCACCATTGGAATACTGGAAGGTAATACTTGTGGCATCTAAAAAACTTAACTGCTAATTATATTTTTGCAAATTTCAGACACATGTGCATGAAATGCAACACTTTCAAAATTGCATCTTTAAGTATTTGTGCATTCCAGCATGCTCCACTGCGTCTGTACGCATGTTCAGTAAGGCGGGATGCATCCTCTCTGACAGACGCGCCGCTTTAAAACCGTTTATTGTAGACCAGTTGCTGTTTACAAACAAAAACCAATGGCTAAATGAATAAAATTGATCTTATTAAAAATAAAATTTAATTTTTCTTCCTTAACGATTAATCGATTTTATTTTTGAAAAAATCGCGATTAATCGTAAAAGATCGATGCTGTCAACATCGATTATTTTGCAGCTCTAATGCTTACAGTTATCGAAAAGGCGACTACAAGTGGCTTTTGAAGCGATGAAGTATCGATGCTTAGCGGCGGCGATGCCCAGAGCTGTATGTATTTTTTCTCTCACGACTTGGCAGCTCTTTTTGACGTTTTAAAAAACGTCTCCTATTTGCATTTTGTATTTAGCTGTCGTTGCGTTTTAATTCGTAGTCAGTTTCATTTTCTGTGCTTTTCTGTCAGCAGTTTTTGTATATTTAATACCCAAAATGGTTAATAACTACGTAACCAATGCTCCTTATTACCAAGAGGTATGTGCGCCAGTCATTCGTATATATTTTCTTTGCAGCCATCAAAATTGTGTATGAATTTTTTTTAGTCGCCGCAACGAAAAATTGTACGAAGCGATGCGCTTGTTACAGTTGTTGGAGCGTCCAGCAACGATAACGTAACTGATGCCAATGAGCATTTGCGCAAAATTTTCGTTGGTGGCTTGCCCACACACACTTCGGTGGAGACAGTGCGAGATTTTTTCAACAAATTTGGAGAAGTTGCCGATGCGGTCGTTATGCGTGATCCTGTATCCAATCGCTCACGTGGCTTTGGTTTCGTCACTTTTGTTGATGCGGCGACTGTGGACAACGTACAGCGCTGTCGTCCTCATAGCATTGACAATAAGTAAGTCGTGGAACATGGAATTGAATTCAACATGTATACATTTATACAATTTTTTCTTCGCAGAACCGTCGAGACAAAGCGCGCTTTGCCACGCCACGAAGCGAATAGATCGGCCAGTAATTCAGGCAACATCAAGTCCTCGAAAGTATTCCTAGGCGGACTTAAGGACTGTCATGATGAGAATTCGCTACGCGAACACTTCTCACAGTTTGGAAAGATTACAAACATCAAACTGCTGGTGGACAACGAGACAGGACGTAAACGTGGTTTTGGATTCTTAGATTTCGAGGATATGGCTAGCGCTGATCGCGCCTTGGGTATGTCCACCATACGATTCTCTATAACTTTTCATAAAATTAAGCTTACAGTTCAAGGAAAGCACACGATCAATCTCTCTGCTGTAGAAGTAAAAAAAGCTGCGCAGAAACCAGATCCAAGCAAGCGTGTGCGCATGCCTGTCGGGGGTGCTGCTCGCGCCGGCTACGCACCGCCACAGCCGGCCATCATGGAAAATTTTAGTTACAATCCCACCTACAATCCGTATGTGGCACATTCAGCTTTACCGCCGTCGGCTTTCATTAATGGGTGGGCCTCCTATGTGACACCGACCGTGCCACCAGCACCCATGTACTATCCTACGCCTAAGGCCTGGAACCACTACAACAAATTCGGGCCTCAGGAATGTACCCGAAACAGCTACAAGACCTCGGAGTGGACAAAGTCTGGCTATAAGCACTCACACGCACTAGCAAATGAGCGCCCAAGGAATGAGTACAAGTCGGTACAGGCTCAGCAGCAGCAACAGCAGCAAAGGTCAACAGCTGCCAAACCTGAGGAGGTTAAGGCAGAAGGTGCTGCAATTTCTCCAGCTGTAACAGCTGGAGGCGGGGATGCTGATAGAAAGTGGCAAACTGGGGACTATAAGGTGTTCAAGCCTTCTGGCACGTACAATGCTGCAAACGCAAAGCAGATAGGCCATGTCCAAAGTAATCGTGTGAACTCCTTGAACCAGGATATTGTCGCTCCTGCTTATGGTAACCCTCAACTTGTTTTCTCAATTCCCTGTTGTAATTTTATTTATTTATTTTTTTTTTTTTTTTTCCCCTAATCAGGCATCTAAGCGGCACTTATTTTTTTCTGGGACCACACAAACGGCTGATAATGGAAAATGCAAGAATTACACTTATTCATTTTTTTTACACATATTTACTATCTGTGTTACCAAAGCTGGTACAGCTTACAAATCCGAATTTATATTTATTTTGAAAACGAAGCTTTTATGACCCAACGACGATGTTGAAAATAAAATGCCTACATTTAAAAATTGCCTTTCCATTCATTATTAATTTTATATTAAAGTGGATATAGCTTTTCATTAATATTGATATCTGTATTCATAACCATACATCATCAAGAAAATACATAATTATGTAAAATGGATTTGATGTTAGCCATTTGGGAAATTAAACCTTACTTAAAATTTTTTTGTGATTTCGAGCTTGGTAAAAGATTGCACATTAAGGTTAAAAACAGAAACAATGAGCAACCAGTCGTACAGACACAGGGATTAGAATGCTGAAGCCTGCTTTCCACTCTACAATATTTCAAAATATAATTTGTTGGGCCAGTTATTCCTATAGTTAACCGATTTTGATAATTGTTAGAGGAGAAATTATAAACAGTTTTCATACTAATTGTGAAATTTTTTCCTATAACAGTTTTCTGATATAGTCAGCCGATTCTAATCAAACTTCAGGCTATTGTATTGCACTATTTGTTTGTGTAAATCCACGAAATTTTATTATAATACATTTATAAACAAAAAAGAATAATGGCAGCTATACAGAAAATATGATATGTGACAAACTGCTATTTATGCGAATAGACTACACTAACGAAAATAGATTTCAAAGATAAACAATTTTGTGGAAAATGAGGAACGTAGATCGACCCGTTTTCAAAAAATATATTAACATTGTTCTCTAGCTCCTGAAATTAAAAAGACGTTCTTTCAATTGCAACTAATAATTGCTGGGATATGATAAAGGAGCAGTAGAATTGTCCTTTTTTTAAAAATATATATATCCTTTCTTGGATTTATTTTTCACATGAGGACATATAAACACAAAGCGGATGTCAGATTTGAATAAAAATCACAATAATTACGGAGGTTATGGAAAATCACTAATAATCAGCTCAGGGGAATTCGAATACCAAGTTTAGCTATTTTAGCTCTTATGCTTCCAAAGATCTCTGCGTTCATATAGACGTGTAGTAAATATACCCTTTCATCATTGGCATAGTTAGGAATTATGTTACGCCAGAAAAAAACTACTACTGAAATTATCAATTTCAATTTATTCACAAATCTTAAAAATTAATTTAACAAAATGAAGAAATAAAAATCTGTCTGTATGAACGCAAGGATCTGAGCAAGTACAATAGCTAGAATAACCAGACTTCGTATTCAGGTTCTCCTAAGCCCTAAGCAGATCAAGTTTGTTTATTTTTTCTGATACACCAAAGCTCTGTCCGCTGCTGTAATTGTTGCTGCTTCGATATAATTACTATATGTTATGCACACATACATGCATACATATGTACATGTACACAAACACGCATAGTCACGATTCTGTATGTATGTATACGATTTATGTATGTATTTTATATTTAATTTAATTAATTAATTAAATTCATCAAAGTTTTTTCATATTCTTTTTTTTTGTGAGGTGGTACAGGGTATTTAAGAGTTGAGCCCGCTCGATTTTAGCATTTCTTTCTTGTTTTTATATTGTATTCCACATAATTAAGAGTGCGGTGATTTCCGTTTCTGTACTGTTCAGAAGAGTCATTCAAACAATTATTTATTAAAAAAGACAAAGACATTTATGCTTGGACCCTTTCGATAGACCCATGCTGTTTCTTTTGGGTACAGATTATAAAAGCCTGGGTACTGTATCAGAGATATTCGTTAGATACCAAGGTTTGATGAAGAAAAACAAACTTACCAAACCAAACATACCTTTATGCACAGGCTATAAAAAATATAAAAAACGAATCCCCGATCGTCGCTACTCGTTGGATAGATTAAGAAGAGAAAGGATTAAAAAGGCGATAATTAGGAATTTAAATCGAAAATTCTTCGTTTTGTTACTTTATTTAGTTCCATTCAAATTCAATGCATTCATTTCTCATTCAAAGTATTGCAAATTTAAATAGTTTCATCAATGTTTTATATCTGAAACGCTATAAAACGCACCATTTCATTTATTTTGTAGGTTTGAATTTTAATCGTATTTTGAATTTACAAGTTTCTCTTTGCTTTTGTGCGCCTTTGGTTGCATTTAAATGCGTTATTTTTGGTTTTAAATAAAAAAAATAATAATAAATGAACAAAATGTTTTCAGTTTAAATAAATTTTTTGTTTTTATTTGCATTTTAACGCGTTGTTGATGTAGTTGCTGTTAGCTTTTTGAAACAATTTGCAGTTGATGTTTCATTCATTTTCTTTTCAGATTTTGGATTAAGTTTAAGTTGATGGATTCTGTAATAAATGGTTGCTGTTATAATAATTTGTTTATAATAATTACTCGTACATTGTTTACATATAAATTAGAATTAAGTTTGCTTTATTTTTGTTGCTTTTGCTATTTTTTATACAAACTGCAGTGTGTGTGTGTGTATCTGTGTGTCTTGTTTTTAACGTTTGCTGCTTATTTAGTTTAAAATTGTTGTATACATTAGAAATGAGCATGAACTTAATTTGTTGTGTTTACCTTTTACTTTATAATTAATTTATATATTAAATTTAATTTTAGTACCTGTGATCTTTATTATTATTTATTTATGTTTTTTTCGTTTCGTTTGAAGCACTTTTAGCACTGCTTTTGAGCTAAGATTTGAACACTAACATTTCCCTTTGTTTGTTGTAAAAAAAATGCACTATAAATTGCTCTAGGCTCGTGCAGTGCTAAAACCTCTCCATTATGCAAAAAGAAAGTACAAATAAATAAAAATTAGACGCCTCAGCATTTAATAATAAGCAAATGATATGTTTGCAAAAACTCAACATACATACTGATTTTACAAAATCAATCAAAACAAAATGTAATCAACTTTAAAAACGATTTCGCTCGAAATTTCGACGACTCTCGAAAAATGTTTGTTGTTGTTTTTGCTGCAGTGTATATATATAAATATATAGCATGTACATACGATATTTAAGTTATGTTGTAAGTCTAAACATTAACATTAAATTATATGTATGAGTTTTGTTTTTTTTTTTTATATTTTTTGTTACATTTTTTTTCTTGCATTACCTTGAGAAAAATGTTAGTAGCTTGTTGTTATAAATCATATATGAGTTGCTGTTGTTGTTTTTTTTGTATTTTTTTAAGTTTATTTAAAAAATATGCACTACATTTTAGTTCACAACTGCGTTGGAAACACCAAATCGTTTAAGTTGTTTGACTTAGTTTGGATTACGATCTCATTTCAAACCTGGCGCCCATAAGCTACCGATGCCTTCTTTATCAATGCATTCCAAATTATCTTCTCACTATATTTTTCTATACAGACTAGCTAGAGGACAAGTGTGTTTGTGTGTTTTTGTTGCAAATTATATTTGAGTTTTTAGAAATAAATAAAAACAAAGCAGCTCGATGTTACTAAAAGCAAGAATGCGATTTCGAGGCGTCGGCATCAGGCGCGTGGCGTTCTCCACTCTTTCAGATGCACTAAATATGTTTTTTTTTTCTTTCTCTTGTTAGTGTGAGGTCTCATTCTTCGATTTGGAGTTCTTGTTTTTTATTTAAAAAAAAACGTACGTACTTTAATTTTTGTTACCACTTTCATTATTTTTTTGTTTTTTTTTTTTTTTAAATTAAGTTTTCAATTTCAAGTCTTTCTTTTGCTCTTTTTATTGCATTTTTTTTATAAAATGTTTTTCATTTTTTTGTATGCTTTTGTTTTATTGTAGTTTTTAGCTAATTTTAGAGCATTATTATGAATAATGCGTTTAATTTAGAGCATTATTTTATTTAAAAATAGTTTATTTAAATGAAACAAACAAAAATAATAAGTTTTTTTCTTTCTACTTTTTTAAACTTAATAGTTAAATTTGAAAAGTGTTTGCCAAACATGTTTGAAATTAAAGGTTACATTTATTTATGCTAAATTATTATGTGTAGTAGTTTTTCTTTTGTTTGTTTGCATGTCTGTGTACAGATTGTGTGTGTGTGTGATGAGGGTGGGCTTTATTATGATTCTTTATTTGAGACTTAAAAATAACGTGTGTTATTTGCAAATGAAGTCGAGTAAGATGCAGCGTCTTTTTCGTTTCAATTTTTCCCACTTTGTGTTTTTTTGTTTGTTACAACGTTAATTTGCACAAATGTAGCTTGTTTTTTTTTTGGCACGAACTGGATGGAACGGCTTGGAACGAGTGCAGCAGAGACGACGAACTGAATTTAATATGGTCGAAAATTAAACTCAGTAGAACTTATAAAAACTCTCTAGCTTGAAAATGGTCCGTCTCTGCTATCGTTGTTCTGTTGTGGTTTTTCTCATGGTGGTGAGCAGCGCAGTTATTATTCTTTTGCCGCTGCCATCATTGCTGTTACAGCTGCTACGTAATTATGTAATCTGGTGGTGTTGAACGCATTACGCTTGATTGAAGGTTGTATGATTGATGTAGATGTTTGATGCCGTTTGTTTGCTTTATGGAAGAAGTCGATGCATTCAACATTGGGGTTATGACGCTGCTCCTAACTCGAATGCGGCCGCACAGCGCCAGCTTTTCTATTTTGATGTTAAATATTTTGATAATGGATATGGTTAGAGCAACATTTCATTAGCCTTAACGACGTCCATAGTTGCCACCGCCGCTACCGCTTTGTCCATTACCAGCACCGCGCAGCGGTCCATTAGCGGAGTTGCCACCACCACTGCGGTTGTCATTGCGGTTGTTGAAACCGCCGCCATTGCCGCCGCCCAAGCGTGGACCACCATTACCGCCACCGCCGCCAGTGCGCATATTATTCCCTGCATTGCCAGGATTGTTACGAAGCATGCCACCACCTCCGTTGTTGTTGCCGCCCATGGGTCTCGATTGGGGACCATTGTTACCTCCCAGGCCACCGCCCCGGCCCATGCTATTCATATTGTTGCCGCCCATATTTTGGCGTGGGGGCAAATCATTGCGCATGCGTGGCTTCTTTTCCTCTACATTCAATTTCTGTGCATCCGGGGAGTTCTCGGGGAAGTACAGGGGCTATTTATAGTTGAAAGCACGAGTGTAAATGTAATTTATGCGCCGCTCCCATTCTAATGTAATAAATACTCACGCCATTAGCCAGACACTTCTGCACCGCCTCGGGATCATCAAATGTGATGAAGCCATAGTTAAGGGGACTTCGCATACCGGGTGGCACTTTGCTGCCTACCTTAGACAGAATTCGCAGCTCAATGATATTACCGAAGCGTGAGAACAGCCCACGCAGCTCCTCCTCGGACGCATGATGCGGAATATTTCCCAGAAACAGTTGCTGGTTGTCCCCGAATTGGGCGTTGCTTGGACGACGCTGCTCAAAGTCTGCAAAGTGGGGAAGTTAAAATATAGTAAAGGAGTTTGGTCGGTAATTTAAGCTAAATATATATAATAAAAGTATATACATATATTTTTTGGAGCGGCATTTACCCTTGTTGTTTCTGATGGAATTGTTACGTTGGGGCATGGGACCACCATTGTCTACTCGCGCACCGCTGTTGTTGTTATTGTTGGTGTTGTTGTAGGACGAAGCTGTGGTCGAGTAGCTGACAGCATTGTTACCACCGCCGCCGCTAGACGAAGAATAGACATTGTTTATATTCTGCTGCTGCTGTTGCTGCTGCAGTTGTTGTTGCTGTTGCAATGCTGCATTGACGAAGCCACTTGGAGAAGAGGATGTAGACTTGAAGAGATTGGCATAGGTCTTCGGTTCGTTCTGCTGCTGCTTGGCAGCCTCGTATTTCTCCTGCTGTTGCTGTTCGTGTATAGTCTTGAAATCTTCGACAGGCGTAGGTGCCTTCTGCAGTTGACGAGGCGGAACCTCACTGGTGGGCACTACATTATCCTCGATTTCTGGCTGTAGAAGGGGCTGTTGGGGTAGCTGCTGTGGTTGTTGTTGCTGCTGCTGCAGTACCTGCGGCGGCACGAGCGGTGTTTGCTGGAAGCCCGCGGGGGGTACAGAGGCCAAACCAACGCTAGAACTCATCACGGGCGTGTTAGAACCGGCAACTGGCCCACTCTGCTGTTGCTGCTGCACCAATGGCGTGGTATTTGGAGGCACCATAGCTTGCGGTGGTTGTGGCTGCTGTGGCAACTCATCATGCGCAACCACGCCATTTTGTACGGGCTGAATCGTAAATTGCGCGGGCATAGGCACAGCAGCTGCCTGCGGAGCGGCTGGCAGCACAGTTACGGGATAGAAGATCTGCGGTGCTGCACCACCACCAGTATTGGGAGCTACCTGCTGTGGTTGTTGAGCCGGCTGCTGCTGTTGCTGCTGCTGGGGTAGCACTTGACCAGGAGATTGCAGCGCTTGGGTGACATCACCAACCACCTGAATGGGCTGATCGTTGGCACTACCCACGACCTGAACCTCGTGCTCCTCATCATTCTCCGAACGCGACTCCCCATCTTGCTCGTCCTCGATGTACATGTCCTGATAGCGGAAGATGTCGTTGTGCACATAGTACTTCTTGGGCGACTGGGCAGCCAGAACGAACGTCTGGGTAAAGCGACGCATTGGTTGACCATCGTTGGACAGCTCACCCGTCACCTGGACAACCACGCCATTGCCAAGAGTAGCCTGCGCATCTACTTGGCTAATCTTGGCGTGACAATCGTTGAAGTTCAGCTGCTTGATGCGATTGTGAATCTCTCGCTGACCAACTACCAGAGTCGAATCTCCATGTATGAACGATGAGTTATTGTTATAGAAGCGATGCAAATGATTTGGGGCCTTGTTAAGCAGCGTATAATATTGACGCACAAATTCGCGTCCCACCGATTGGGGCGAAGGCTGCTGCGATTGAGTCGCATCCATGACCATTGCTAAATTACAAGCGTTTTGGGGCTACTGGGATGTTGGTTCTTGCTCCTTTTCTATTGCTTTTGTGGTTCTTCCGTGATTATGCTTGAATGTGTGAATTCTCAACAACTTGGACTTGATGTCTTTCCGATCTGGTTGTTGTTCAAATACGGAACTTGGCTATGGATAGGGTCTGCAAGAACACGAGATGAAGAATATAGCGTAATTTACTTGCAAAGACACAAAAAAAATATGAAAAATGTATTATTAATACATCTATAAACGTTTTTGTTGCTTTGACATTATTGCTTCAACAAAAGGGTAGCTACCAAGCTGCTTGGATTTTAACTTAACATTTTTTAGTTTTATTTAAAAAGACACATTTTTTTACACTCACGGTCGACCAATTTTTGTCCACCCAAGGGGATACTTAAATACTTTATACACCGATCGAATGTTTTTAGAAAAAGTGTCCGCCGAAGACAATGTCCGGATAAAAGAGGTGTCCATTAAGGGAGTTTTCACTGTATGTCCTGCACCCAAAAGCGTTAAGTCTACATTGTTTATTAGCAAGACGAGAAGTTGATTTGGACATGGATGAACGTTCAGATTTCGGATTTGGCTGAACTCACAATAACCAATCTATGACTCTTCTAATCGTTGGGAAACATGAGTTTATATTATTCTTATTCTTTTTCTACCTCTAAATTCAAAATTTCGTAAATACTTTCCTTCCTTCATTTAAAGTCTTTATCTCCAAAACGGTCAATTCTTTAAAAGTTATGATACTATAAAGTTACACGACGCCAAAATTTCAGCAGTAGTTTGGGGACTATATACTATCCGATGCTTTATAATGTAGAATCAAAAGGTGAAGTTAAACCAGGCCTTTGGTCAATTAACCATTCTTCTGTACTAACTTTTAATGTTTTATCTCTTTATTATCTTATGGAAACCTTTATTTAAATGGTTTGGAGAGAAAAAATTAAACGTTTTACGTTTCCTTCAAAACTTTCTCTGCTTATTGATACCCCACCTGCTGTAACGGAAATTTTTATTGAATGACCCAGAGAGTGGAGGTAAGGTGTGGGCGAGGATGTCAAATATGTTGATCTTGTCATTTTTCAGGTTGATTGCGTACCTTGTATATTAAGTTACAAGAAGATGACACTCAATAGCCGAAGCTTATAACTGTTGTAATTGTCTGTGTAATTTCTTGTTGTTTTAAAAGGGCATGACAAAGAGTTGGTAGGTAATAAATTTATACATACACACATGTACATACATTGGTAAATAAAAAAAAGATAAAAGGAATCAACGGACGACACTAACACGAGAAGGCAACTCAGTTGCAATTTGACCCACTTTTGCACACTTACATCCATACAAACAATGCATGCGGATGCTATGTAGTATATGCACACAGAAAAAAATGTACAGAAAAGGGGAAATTTCGAGTAACCAGAAACAAAATGTGCAGCTGCCACTAGTTGTCGATTTTGCTTTTATTTGTTTTTGCTGTTGTTCTTGTGTTGTTTTTGATGGTATATTTTCTTCTTCATGCTCAAGTAAGCAGCACACGTGCTTTACCCTCTGTCTGTCCGTTTGGTGATCTAAACACAAAGGACTTCTTTTTGAGCCACACAAAGTAAATGACCTCATGCAGATACATACATACATATGTATACCGAGCGAAGTTGCGAGAACGACGACGTCCACGACATCGGCTTTGCCGCAACGGGAGCGCATTTGCCCATGTATCGTTTTTAGGTTATGTTTGTGCCTCAAGGTTGTGTCGCCGCCTTAGAGGATAGTAATAAGTCGAGTATGTGTTTATGTTTGTGTGTGTGTTATTTCCCAGGTAGAGTAGGTGTGTTTCATTGAACCGACGCACCACAAACGATCGCGTATGGTAATACTGATAATTTTTCAAGCTTCTTACGCGTTGATTTCGCAACAAAGGCCACTATAAAATGGGGAACCGACAAAAAAAAATAAAAGAACGTTCATGATTTCGGGCGTTTGCTGTCACTGCAACTGATAAGTTTTTTTTCCTAAATAGAAAGCACACACACCTGCGTTGCAGCAGCAGCAACACCAGCTAAAAGCAAGACGTCTTACCAAGCAATAACTTTGCAAGCAACGCGCGCGCTCACACCAACACAAAAGCATTTCGCCGCCGCCGATAAATGTGTGTGTGCGTGTGTCTCGGCTACCGCGTGTGTAGGCTGAACAAAGAAAGCAAAGAAAAACGCCAGTGCTTAAACAAACTTTACAAAAACAAATTCTCCGATACGCGCACTATACAGTTTTTAAGGTTATAAACTGCTAGCAGGCAGTAAAAAAAATGCCGCTTAATCATAATAAATAGATGCCAGAGAATGAAATAGCATATCTTTAAAATGTACTTTCCGACGAGTTCCGCAAATCAAAATGTTTCTTTAAAAGCACAGCCACCACCCCAATACAAGTCGCTCTCTTTTATGTTTTTTCTTGGCGAAAATGCGGTCGCATGGGGACCGGCACTTACCTTTTTAGCTATTGTTGTTGCTGATGCCTGTATGGGCGCTGCTGGTATAATTTGTAATGCACAAAAATATTGCTTGTTGTTGTTGGTTCCAAATTGTTTTAATTCGCTGCTGAAGTTTGCACCTTGAGAGCTGCAGAGAACAATGTTCACAGTATATTGTTGACACTGGGCACAAACTTTTGTGCGAGTTGAGGACCGGAATTAAGAATGTGTGGTGTTTCGCTGTGGCCTAATTTGATGAAATTCTGAAATGTATTTATGTATTTGAATTATCTAGTTTTATTATTTTTGCAATTTTCCTTTTGATTAAATCACACACGCAAACACACACACACACAAAAGTAGTTGGCTTGAAACTGCCGTCGATGCTTCTTCTTTCTCTCGCCTTCGTCGCCGTCTGCTTTGTTGCAATTTCTTATACAAAATTTACTAAATTGGCAATTTATTTACCCGCTCTAATTTGTTGTTGTGTGTAAATGTTTTTTGATCACAGTTGTTAATTATTTAAGTTTGAATGCGTCGGTTTGTTTGATTTTTTGTGTAGAAAAGAACCGCAAACGCAATAAAATTGAACAAGTGTTGAATTGAGAAGAGAACCGACGTTCGTTCGTTCCTCTTTTTTGCCTCTGCAGCGTTTTATTCTCGGCGCTTGTGTGTGTGTTTTTGTATAATGGCGGCGTTATTCTTTTTGACAAAAACTTTAGTGTACACACTGGAAGAGTTTATTCTTTTTTATTGTAATCGGGTTTGCGTTTTTTTAACGATTTCCTATACAAAATTTCACAGCTAAATAAAGAAAATAAATATTAAGGAGAGAAATGTTTCATTATACTTTGATCAATTGAAGACCTGATTATGGTGGGTATACACTGGCAGAGCTACCAGACTGCTGTTGTGATAGTTACTTAAGTGAAATTAGAATTATTGCGGTATATATAAACTAATCTGAGGTGCTTTGTATAAAAAAAACATTATGAAGCAATACATTTCATCATTGCTACCTATTTTGCAGCTAACTACCATTTCACTGTTCAGTGTACAAGCTTGCTGATATTTGAGATAGTGGCAACGCTTTGCCTTATACACACGATGTCGATGCATTTGTCATTTTCCGGCCGAACTAAAAAGCAGTCGTCAGCGTACGCGCGAGTTTGGAGAGTGTGTAAAAATAGATATTTTCGGTTGAAATCTACTATAATTGTGCCGTTCGCCCAAGTTTTTAATTGGCAATAGAAACATATACACACAATTGACATAATGGCAGATAAAATCGTCGACAGTGAGATGAATGGCGAGGATTTCACCAAGGATGTTACCGCCGACGTGACGACTTCTGAAAATGGCGATGCGGCGGGCGCTGCCGGTTCCACCAATGGCAGCTCTGACTATTCAGGGGCTGTGGCGAGCAACCAACGCGATGACGACAGGTATTTCAAGCATAATGAAAATTTGTTAACACCTACAGCTGCGGGCATCAAACTAGTGGTATTGGAAAAATCATGTGCCTAACTACCACTGTACTTATTGCCATCAACTCTATGGTTACGTAAATGCGAAGCAAACGCGTTCAGTGTAAAAAAATGTGTGCGTCGGCTGTAGCGACGACTGCGGCGGGAGTTCTACCCGTCGCTCTGACCCCTTTTGTTATTTATTCTTGTTTTTTCTTTCTTTTTTTTTTCGCGCGTATGTGTCTGTATGTGCGACTGTACTTCGCGCTGCGCTTAGTATAGAAAAGCTATATTATAAAAGAAATTGTAGAAAATTCTTTTGTTGATCCGTCTACATTCGTAATATTGTAGAAGTATGGTTCTAATAGAGAAAGGGGTTTTTATTTTACTTTGTTTATTTTGCACTTAAGTTTTGAGCACTTTTTGACATGAAAAATATTTTGCATTTGTATTAGCGTTGTTTGGTTTGCTATTAAATGAATCGCATAAAATCAATTAACTCTGCACAAAAAATTCCAGTCGCTACGAAGCACATTTTTCCCCACTCTTGTGAGGTTATGTCTGCCAATCTCACACACTCACAAACATTCACACATCCATAACGCAAAACGTAAACGTGTGCGCTCCGTTCCCGCTTGCGTCTTGCCTTAGCTGCTTGCCTTTCACTTGCAAAAAGATTGAGCTTGTGTGTATGTGTGAATCTACATACATATATGTACGTCTGTATAATGTGTGTGTGAGTTTTTGCATTACTTTTCTTTTGGGCCGCCGTTCGTTGTTATTTTTACGCTCGTTCGTTTCCAAGCTCTCCTCTCCAGTCCTTTATCAAAATGGCGGTCTCTGTGTTCGCTTTGTTTTCTACCCTTTGTGTGTATGTTCTACACATGTACATACTATAGTATGTTAGTATGTATTTGCATTTTCTCTGTTCTCTTTTGCTTGCCGGTTTCGCGCTGTTGCTGAGGCTGCTGCGTGTGCTACCACAGCGCTGCCAGAGTTACCAGTGCTGCCAAGCAACACAAAAAGTTCTTATTTCAAACTTTATTGAGAATGCTTAGCTCTCGTGTTCATTTATTGGCTGAGTTTATTTGTTGTTAACTGCATTTACAATCGTTTGCAGAATCAAGTATTGTCAACTTTGTTACGGGCCATTTGATTGTGTAATTGAATCGATTTTGTATATTTAATTGAAAATGGCAAGGAAACATTTCTTGGTTAATGTTTGGTATGCCCTTGCAAACATTATAGTCCGCCCGAACATTTATTTTAAACTGAATTTTGTATCAAAACTATTTAAATACATATTTAATTGATCAATTAATAAAAGCTACTGTCGGTATAAGATTGGGTCATTTACCTTTTAACAATCTCTGGTACATAGTTTTCATAGACAACTATAGTTGAAAAGCTTCTGAAAGATCATAAGTTTACATTATCATAGGAATTATGTCAATAAAAATGCTTGCAAGAGTATATAACCTTCGGCGAACCGAAGACCACGTTTTTCTTGTTTTTGCTTTGTTTTTCGTTGATTATGATTGTAAGTTCCAGTCGTTACGCTCATCTTGATAACTTTGATGTAGGTTAATAATTATATATCTAAGCTAACATTTAAGTCAAGTCAAAAGTTGTATGTATATACTTTATAAAAATTGAAATGAGAAGCCAAACTGGACATCATGCTACAAGCACAAAAAATATTAAGAGAACAGCAGCTCCAGTCGAAAATGTGTAATTTGTAACTGCATACATATCGCATCAGCCTAAGTACGTTATCAGCAATCAGCCACAAAAAAAAAAAAAAACAAAATATATATAAAAAAAACAAATTCATTGCCTTTCCTGTTGTGTTTGAGCGAACTAACCTTGTTCCTCTCCGGCAGGTCTTGAGAGAAGTTAAAAGCCATGTAAAAGCTATTCTCAAGCCGGAGACAAAGCCCAAAGGACCAAGCCAATGAGCGGCGTCGGTCACAGAGGAATGGATTCATCACAGGATTCGCAGCGATGCCCCTGCCGAGATGTTGATGATGGTATTTATCTAACCAAAAAAAAAAAAAAAAACAATAAAAACTACACACAAAATTATCGACAAATTAATCGAATTCAAATTGGATCTATTTAAAAAAAAACAAACGTATTTAACTAAAACGCATTTTTATTGTTTACCGAAAAGATAAGAGAGAGAGAGAGAGAGAACGACTCGCATTTTTTGTTTGTTTTTGCCTACTTAGAAAAGCGCAACTGTGATGAATGTAACGTAACGAACACCCAAAACGAATTGCAAACGAAAACGAGTCTCGAACGTTTCAAAAAGCCATCTTTCACACACTAAATTCAGCCGCCGTGACCAGTTCCAAATTGAGATACCCGCAGAGAATTTTCCAAACTTTAAGTAACGTACTCAAATATCTTTTAAGTGTGCCTTTAACAATTTATATAAATACTAGCAGAAGAGAAATAAAGCAAGTAAAAACCAAATCAGCATAAACTCTTTGCATTTTTCTCATATATACAAAACATATAAAACCTAATTGTTAATAATGTTATAAAAAAAACTATATTAAACCAAAACTATTTTTTTCAATAAAATTAAAAATTCACTCTTTTTCATATATATTTTTCGCTCGTTTGTGTCTCGATCGCTCGCTCGTTGAACTCTTTCGCTCTGTTTCGAAAGTTTTTCATTTGTATAACGATTGAAAGTGCAATTACAATTAAAGTAATTTTAAGCTCTTTTTCACTTAGAATTTGGTGAGTTTTTTTTTTTGTGTATCTCGCTCTTTCATAAATTTTGTTTCAGCAATTACATACAATAGAGAGAAAGAATTTAAAGTAAATTTGTAAAAGCTCAACTTGCGTAGCAATAATGCAAATTACAGACATATTTAAAAAAATTTAAAATAACGCAAAATACCAATATTTATTATATATTCTACGCGCAGTAGACACATTTTTCCTATTTCGTGCCAAAAACCCCATGCAACTCAATTGTTTGTTTAAAATAAAAAACAACAACGTATAACTTAGATAAACAATTAATTAATCAAAAACCATATTGATTTACTTTCGACAGAAAACTTTTTGTTGGCGGACTCAGTTGGGAAACCTCTGAGAGTAAGTATTAAACGAAGAAAAGATAATTAACTTTCATGACTAAACCAAATTTTCCATTTGCAGAGGAGCTGCGCGATCACTTTGGTAAATACGGTGAGATCGAGAGTATTAATGTTAAAACAGACCCGCAAACTGGACGCTCGCGTGGCTTTGCCTTCATTGTGTTCACGAACACCGAGGCTATTGACAAAGTGAGTGCCGCTGGCGAGCACGTCATTAACAGCAAAAAGGTTGATCCCAAGAAGGCCAAGGCCCGCCATGGCAAAATCTTTGTTGGTGGCCTTACCACAGAAATAAGCGATGAGGAAATCAAAACCTACTTTGGTCAGTTTGGCAATGTAAGTATCAGCATTTTAATTTATCTAAACGCTCTGTTATCCTCTAAGCTTAAATACAATCTTCTTTCACATGTACTTGCAGATTGTAGAGGTCGAAATGCCCTTCGATAAGCAAAAGTCCCAACGCAAGGGCTTCTGCTTCATAACCTTCGATTCAGAGCAGGTGGTTACTGACTTGCTGAAGACGCCGAAACAAAAGATCTCTGGAAAGGAGGTTGATGTTAAGCGTGCCACACCCAAACCTGAGAACCAAATGATTGGTATGCGCGGAGGTGGTCGCGGTGGTATGCGAGGTGGACGCGGTGGCTATGGACGTGGTGGTCAGTATATAAATAATTATTTTAGCATTGATTTTTTATGATCAGGAACCCAAGCCTATTCCACACCTTTTTATCTTTAAATTTAAATGTATGAAAATGTATCCTGCAAGTCTTACTTCTACTTCCCCGTTTTCGTAGCTCAGAAGAATCGTTTATCATAAGTATAACAAAGTAAATATCCATTGCCACAAAGTAAGGATCCAAGATTTTTTGAAAAAACTTTTTCAAAGAAAATAAGGTTGCGTTGAAATAAGGTACTTTTTACCCTCCCCAGTCTCCCAAAATTTCTGTTCAGTTATTCCTTAAATATCTACGATCAATTAATTATTAAATATAATGAGTATAATTAAAAGGTTTGTGGAAATGGGAAGTTTTGCACATTTTATACTGAAATATAGACGATATAATGGTCAACGTCCTTTATCGACTTGCCTTTAAAGCGGTTTCCTCTCTAATCCTGCTCGCCTGCCGCTCTATTCCTTAGGGTTGCCATCTGCCTCCATCATCATACGTCTTATAATTCAATGCAACAAGTAATAGGAGCTTTTATATTGGGTTTGTTAGGGTGTTACTAGATGTTACTGAAAAATCACTGTCGGGCTCTCTCGACTGTAACATTATTTCTTGTTTTCGTTTATCTGGTATACCAGATCCAACCGTCCAATTCAGGAGTTACTGATCAGAGAAAAATTGTGCATTTTTACAGGCTACTCTCATCAGTGGGACGGTCAGGGCTCGTACTCTGGTTATGGCGGCTATGGCAGTTATGGAGCCGGTGGTTATGGCGACTACTATGCCGGCGGCGGCTACTATAACGGATATGACTACGGTTATGGTAAATACAACAACAAACATAATGCTCATAACAATTATTACAATAATAACACGTCAAGTAATTACCACCAAAACAAGAACAATAGCAACAACTATCAGCAGTTTTAAGTAGTGAACTATGCTGCTGAAAAGCGTGAGCAACAAACAAACAGCAACAACAATAATCTTAACAATAAGCCGTTAACCACTATTTTCAAAAACTTTGCCATAGTCCTGAACAGAGGAATATTATTAGAATTCATATTTCAAGTTGTTGTTTGCCACACACAAAAGAAAAATGAAAGCTGAGAGAAAAACAAAAACGTTTTGCTGCATTTCTAAAATATTGATTTCCCAACAACCACAGCAAAAACAAGAACAGCAACGTCGCTAAAAACAAGAAAACTTTTAAATATTAAAGAAAACGTTTTAATTTAAATTTTAAAATATTTGCCCATTGAGCAAAAAACGTAACGTCTTATTCACTTTTTCTATTTTATTTCATTTTTTTGCAAATCGAAAAAAATGTTGTTACGATTTATTAATATTATAAAAACAAATTCTTTTTATCTATAACGTACTATATTAATTTTAAAGTTAAAAGTTCGATTGAATTTTACATTTTAAAAGTAATTTTAATGCAATATTTTTTCTATACATACACATATTTACAAAGAGTTATATAGAGAGAAAAGAAAAAAATTGATAAAATTTTAATCGCAACAAAAAAATCATTTATTAGTTGTTTAGTGTATATAAAACTGACGAAGCGTGTGTATTATGATTGTGTTGTTTAAAGAAATAAGAGAAAGAAGATAAAGATTAGACGTGACGACGACGTTCAACTTGATAATGAATGACCATTGAAATCTACAAGACGTTCCAATAAAATCAACCGCAACAACAACACCAACAACTGACTCATCTTAGCAACAACAGCTAACAGGACTTTTGGCTGCTAATTCTTAAAGGGGTGTGCTATACAATACACGAGGCTAGATTCATGCGCCATAATATGATAATACCACAAACATGTAGAAATCTCGTGAAATCATCGCCGCTTTAAGTTTGATTGATGTGAGCGGCTTCAAGAATATGGGCCGCTTTGCCAGAGCCAGAGCTTAACAGTGTGAATGCAAGGCCTGCTGGCAAACAGACTTTCCAAAGATGAAAATACCTCAAACCAAGCCAAGGCAGCAACCTACAACCACCACGACAGCAGTAACAACAAAATAGACACCACACACATACACAAACACTCACACACACACTTGATGTGCCAACTGCAAATGTATGTGAAAAATGTGTGAAATGTAATTGCAAGCAACATGTGCCTTTATTATTGTTATATATATAAACACACATTTTATTGTTATTGTTGTTTCTCGTAATGACGATGATGATGATTTTGCATACAAACGCACTCGGTCACACCACAAACACACACACACATCTTGCTGACCCGGCAAACACATACATACAACAAACAAACAAAACAAAACAAACAACATCCTCCCTTAAAATAGTTATTTAAATAGTTTTTCCTTTTGTTTTGTTCAACAAAACGCTAAAAACAAACATAGAAACAAACAAGAAACGCGTAATCAAAGCTTTGATTGAACTTCTATTTAAATATAGCATATAAATATATTTTTAGATACATATTATTTCTGCAAGGAGATAATATTAATGTTTTTGCAATGCATATGTTTTCGTATGCACATATATATATTTATACATATATATATCTATGTATTTATATACATATAATACCTATACAAAAGCAAACAAAATATATACAACGTTATATATTTATATACATACATTTATTGTGGTACTATTTTTGATAGTATTATTTTAAGGTAAAAATCCTTGTAAAAACAACAACAACTACAACAACATGAAGCATAACAACAACAACATAACAATGACCTCTGCAGCTAGTTTTTAGTTGCAAACACAACATCGTAGAGGCCCTTCTTTTATTTGCTTTGTTTTTGCATTTCTACTTTGAAACAACTTGATGATGATGAGAGAAAGAAAGGCAGAGAATGGGAAATTTCTTTAAAGTAAAAAACTACACATCAGATCATTTTTAACATATAAACATATATATACAACTATATGAGAAAAATACGCGCACTCGCAATGCGGCATTTCCACGTTCGTACGTTGAAAAGCAACAACAACAGCAATAACTAAACAACGACTATTACAGAAACAACAACAACATCATGAAGAAGAACAACAACTACTTTAACAACTCTAACGTAGTACATTTTTCAAAAAACAAGTTAAAATCAAACAAGCAAATGAACACACTTCGTCAATTTTAGTAATGGTAATCATATTTACATAAATATATTAATTTTTTTATGGTTTTTAAATGTTAAGTTGAAACACACACACATATACACTTACATACACAAACATACGAGTATATTGCTTTGCATATATAGTAGGACCATTATATAACTCTAAAAATTATTTTTAATCAATTATAAAAAGGGAACATTTTCAAAGCTTCTCAACTTCCACTCAAACAATTGTTTTAAATTTGTCAAAAGCAACAACAACAGCGACAGTTTGATTAATATTTGTATTTCTTAAAATATTATGTCATTAAATTTATATAAAGTTGAGTGAAATAATTTGTTAAAATTTGCATGTTTCTCAATGTTTTTAGCAAGTTTTTCTATATAACTACAATTATACATATATTCAAAAATAACATTTACATTAAACATTAATTTCTTTTTAACACCTTATGCTATTTATATTATATATATATATATACCAATTATACCAGTTTATTATGCTGATCCAATTACGATGTATTTTGTGTAAACAACAACAATATTATGAAAAACGAAAACTACAACATTTTTGTATGTCTACCACATAAAAATAATATATATAATAATTTTGTGTCCATCAACAAATATTTCATAATTTTAATTATGATTTTAAATTATCATTATTTTCTTTTTTTTTATATAAATTTCAAACTAACCGAGCTTCGGTCGGATCTTAACAGGTTGATTGAGCGAAAATATGTCAACAGCACCCTGTTATGATCCCTCGAGGCAAATAATTTGTAATTCACAATAGTGTTACTTTATTATGATTTTAAATGTTATATTAAATTGTAATACCGAATTTTCCGATGTTTCGCCTCACAAAAACGACAAGCAATGATTACGAAAGAAATCTTTATAGAGAATAAATACCAACAACCTATGTAGAGTAACAGCAACACAAAACTCGTTAAACCCGAAGTCAACCGATTCGAAACCTAACGGAACGGTTATTCGCTCGTTGTTGTCCGTATGTATTGTTTCTTGCCATCCGACCGACCAACCCGACAAATCAAACCGCATCAACTGCAACTGCAACAACAACAGCAAATGTTGCGCTTTCACTTAAATGTAAACGTTCTATTTTTCTTTTAATACATCATTTTAAAAAAATTAAACTTATATACATATAATATTTTAAAAGTAATTTAGCGTAATTAATATTTGATTTTAGTCGAAAAAAGCATTGAAAAACTACAAAAAAAATCTATTTAAAGTAATTTTAAAACTCTACAACTTGGCATTTCGAACACAAGTTTTCTAAAACAATTTTTAAGAATAAACAGTTTTCTTGTTTTTACCAACAACAGCAACAACAACAACACAAAGAAAGTAATTCTAATATCTATAATATGTAAAAACTTGTTGACAATTTGCATTTGTTTTTGTTTTTCGCAAGACGTTTTTAACACCACATTTTTTTTTCGCAACGCGTGACGAAGCTATATAGAAATATGCCCCCCCCACTCCCCGACCCGATATAATAAAATTTTGTATGATATTTGATAACATTTTTGCTGAGGTGAGACATTCAAACACACACACACACAAGAGCAGCAAATAAATTTTTGGCCAAAATCGAAATTTTAAAGAATTGCTAATGCTAATTGAAGATATTTGAAACAAATTTTGCAAAAGTAAATGAAATTAAAATGCTGAAATTGTTGTGTGGAAAATGAGGTAATAATAATATATAAACAAACTAAATTGCAAACGAAATGAAAGAGCGTGTTGAAGAAACAAAGAGAAAAATATAAAGCAAAGAGAGAGTGTAACAAAGAATTGCAATACATTGTGAAACATGTTTATAAGTCGAGTTAAAACTAACCAACCAAAAGAGAGTGCGAGCTTATATAAAACTTCAACAACAACACATAATCTACAACAACAGCAACAACAAATCGAACCGCATTGTATGTGTGAGCGCCGCTTTGCTGCGCCAAAGTTTTCTTTTTGATGAACGCCAGCAAAGACATATTTTTTTTGTAAATTCTTATGATGTCAGCAAATGTCAAATAATCATCTTTATAACAAATCTAAATATCTGTATTTGAGCTACAATTACAACAACAAAACTTATAATCAAAACCCACAAACAAGAAATGAGCAAATAAAAGAAAAACGAAAAAAAACCAACCAAAACCAAACTACTACAACGTGTATTTCAGTTACTTTTTGGTGACCCCAACCATTGATCCGAATCTAGGAGCAGTACGGGAGATAGAATTCTTAATGCTGCTTCCACACACATCCTACAGATCCACATATCTATATAAATATGTATATATGTGTGTATGTAGGTATACACCCACCCGGATTTGCTCGACTGTGCTGTGTTCTGTGCTCTTGAATTGTCTCGCCTCGTACCAACGGCCATCAAAATTTTGACCAAACCAAAACTCAGGCAATGATGTCTTATAGCATCCACATATCCCACTATCTATGCTAATTTTTATTTCATTCTCGTCCTCAACACAAATTGTTTTTGCTATATATAAAAAAAACTCGTTTGTTTATATTAAATTGAATTACCTTGTGACTCTGACCAAAGACTATGGCTATGGCGGCGGTTTCGACGGCGGCTTTGGCGGTAATGGCTACGGCAACGGTGGCGGCGGCATGGGTGGTCGCGGCACCGGTGGGCCGCGCGGCGGTCCCAAAGGTATACATTATAAAACAACACAACTTGAAAAAGTAGCGGTAACATCCAACCACCAACCCACCCAGACTCATAACCACAACTATCCAATTATTTTAATCAGGGAATTGAACCGAAACGGTAGCGGGACCAAGATATTAGTGATTGAAACTTTAATTATGAGTCAGTGCGAAGAACTCGGACATCAAATATATTTAGCCATAATATAATGTTATTAAATAAAGTAACTGGTTCGCGAATAACCCACAATACGTTTGGAGAGAGGGACAAAAGTTCTCTCGTTACTCTTTAGAATAAATCGAGATGGATTTAAAATGTACTAAAAAGTGGTCTTTGCGGTCGTGATCGCGACGAATATATTCAATATGATGAAGTATAAAATCGTTATTCACGACATTTATATTGAGCTCGAGCTCGTGCGTGTTTCAGGTGTCGTCATGAGATTTCAGAAAGGGGCCGTGGATATTATCGCTATCGAATTGTCAATAGTTTAGTATCGAAATGTGAAAATTGCGTAAAAACTTTGCCTACGTGAGTCGGATGCGCTGAGTTTTTAGAAAGCATCGTGATTAGATACCGCAACATTCCACATATTTGGATTGACAGGTAAATCTTACCAATTGGACGAAGTTTGTAATAATATTTAGTATGTGGGGCATTTATTTGTGACACGAGATTTTCGGTACCGTTTCGGTTATATCCTTTGTTAAAATTAAGAATTGTGTTGTTTTAATTTTTCTAAATAATTTTAGTGTATGCCCGCGTCCCCTCTATGTTCTTATATTCCCTCTGCTATTGGCTGCCAAAATGTTCTTACTAGCATCTTTCGAAATGTTGTTTTTACTCCTCTCTATACATAGATTTGGTCAAAATTTTCACACGTCGCTTGAGTCGTAATGCGTAGTTGTGTCTCCTGAACCCACACCACCCCACCCCTTCTCGAATATAGTACCGCTCTAAAAGCTGTGCATGCCTTTTTCGTATTTGGAGCTTAGTTCTATGAACGAAGAACCCAAATTAAAAAGCTAACTCCCTTTTTCACATTCCAAAACAGGTGGCGGCGGCGGCGGCGGTGGCTTCAATGCGGGCAAGCAGCGCGGTACAGGACGTCAGCCAAGGCATCAGCCGTACTAGACGCCTCCTGGGAGCCTAGTCCTCTACTTATACTGCAAACTACATGAAATTTACTTAGTTTAGTTTCTTATGGTAAGTGAAGCAGTGAAATTGTGTCAGTCGCAATCATCTCATAATAGTGTTTCTACCCGACTTGCCCTTACAGCACTCTACTGCATATACTAAAATACAACAACATGAACACACACTTAAGTACACCCGCATGCATATACTTATATAAGCCGACTGCAAAACGGAAATCATTCTCATCATCAATAACCATAACGTTGAAGCCGTGGCGCATCATTCAGGATTGTAGACACTTGGTCTAACACCATTCCACCAGCAGCAGCAGCAACAAGAACAGCAACTACTTAAGAAATTATAGCAACAGGACTACAACTAGCAAGTTGAGAGAGATATTGAAAGAGGAGAGCTTAAGGCATTTGGGCATCGCGGTCCCTGCCAACGCCAACACACATCCACACATATGTTAGACATGTAATTTTTCAGCAAGTGGCCAATTTTTCATGGCCACACGCTCATTAAGCAAATAACCAACCAACAAACAAACCGACCACCGCTAGCACCACAACAGCAACAACCACCACCATCATCACCACAACAAGCAACAACAACAACAATTGCAGAGCTCATCAGCGGTCTTTGAGGAGAGACAGACGCCCACAACGCCGTTCTCCGTGTCAAACTAATTTGTTTTTGGAATGTAGTTGATACATTATGCAGAGTAACGGTTTAATTTGCTAAATATAACTAATTTCTAAGCACCTCAGCCGAAACAAAAACAACAACAACAAACAAGATATACAAGCAGCTCATACATCAGCAATGTTTAATAGCTACAATATACAATACAATAGACATTAAGTATTTGTTTAAATTTAATTATGAATAACTGTAATAGGTAATAATAATATAATATATTATGTAAAAATAAATGCAGCAAGCTAACGAGCTGGCAGATCGAATGGGCGAAGACATCGTCCATATGAACTATAAACAAATCCACCAAATTACAAAAGATTTTTTGAATATCACAAGTAAAATTTTTGTGTACGTATTTATGCTCATAGTCTACACATTCAAAAAAAATATATATAGTATATATATATAAAAAATATGACGATCTACAGAGAAATTTATATTTTATTAAAAATATGAAACGGCGTGACAAAAAACTACGGCAAGTAATAAAAAAGAATGAAAAAACAAAAAACGAAAAGCATTGCACTACAAATTGTATAGTTTTTAAAGACTATTGCGGAAAGTTTGTTAAAAATAAAAAAAGTATATATATATATGTACCATAGCTATATTGACCACGAATTGAACAAATTGTATGCTAAAATTTTAAAAGGGAACCTAGATTTGAAATGACATGCAGATGGGTACGAATGTTATGAAGCGGACACCTTATAACAATCTTACTCATTGTTTCGATTTTCATTTTGCAATTTGACGTTAAAACAAGAAATTCGGGCTGCATTATCTGCCGTAAAGGTGAGGCCCATAAATCATAAGCATTTTATTTCAGGAACAATGTAAAATTATTGATCAAAGTCGTCGACTAGCATGGGTTAATTACATTTCCTTCATTTGAAACAAGTACACATAATTTTATTATTTTTTCTATAACCGTAAACTTAATACTATAAGCGCAAATTGAAAACTTAAGAAAATGGTATAAGAGAAAAGTGCTAAGCAGTTTAGTAGCCTTTTTTAACTTGACACCCAAAAAAAGTCCATGAAATTATGCAAAACCGAAACACTTTTTAAAATAAGCCAATTAAATCCAAATTACAAAATAAAATTCGCTGACTCATTGTTTTATTATTCTATCTGATTATCTACACGAATTTTACTCAAATACACAATTTTTAATTAGTCATGGCCAGAAGGTACTACTCGGACGGATGGATTTACAATTTTTTGGTGCGAATATGGAGAGCAAGGCTAGAAGTTTCGCTTCACCTGACCGGTGCGATGAAGGACATCCAGTATCTTGAGGAACTCACGGTAGTTGAACTCCATGTGAAGGCCTCGCTCCACAGCGAAGCATTTGCAGACAGCATCGAACTCACGCCTGCTCAACATCTCGTGCATCTCACGCACCGTGAGCGCACGCAGCAGTTGGTTTTCGGAAACGCTGCCGCAATTCGACCGATCGAAGTCCGTGAAGATTTGACTAAGATTGGAGATTTCGTCGGGTTTGCGGGCGAGCTTCATTAGCGCTCGCGAGCATGTGGTTCGCTCATCAAAGTTCAGGAAACAGCTGATGCAGTCCAAGTTGGGCAGATGGAGGAGCGGCACAGCCGTGACAATCTTGTCGCCCATCTCCGATTCCAGCTGAACAAAGATCTGGTTCAATGCCTTCACAAAGTCGCGATAACGCATGCAAGGTGCCCGACGCGACGAACGGAAACTGGAAAGATGCAAAGTTTCAATTAATTTATATGAAGTATCGTAGCATTACTTATAAGCTAATTTCTCTGCATTATAATTAACGTTAATTTTTTGGGGATGCAAGATATATCAAAATATTGGTCGTTGAAAAAAATGTAATATGAAAGTCGCGGCTTCAAAACATTTGTAAGATGGCTTAAAAAAATTAACAATCTCTACACTTCTTGGGTTTATCGATGGGAGTGTTCGTTTCAAAATTTGTAAGTATTTCAAAATTGAAAATTTTTCAGAGAAAGGTAACTTGGAATGTATTAAAAGCTATTTCATAAAAAAAAATCTTTGACCCGATAGGGGAAAATTTATTAGTCAGTCCGACAAGCTAAAAGGCTTTTAGAAAGGAAAGGGAGATGGAAATGACATTTCCAGGCTTTTTTGTGGAAAGAATTATCAATTGCAATTCTATTAGAATAAGAGGCTTAAAGCTTTGAAAATTTAAGAAATTAATATTTATAAAACAATATATTCTATTTTGTTTTTTGTTGAAGCATTTAAACGATTAAAAGGGCTAGTATTTACAAGTATAAAGAAAATGTTCTAGTAATTGATACCATATTTTTTGCAAATATGGCTTACTGTTTCGACGGATAGCGATATACTATAAAAAATAATATTTTGACTTACATGTTGCACATAAGAGTCGCATCTTCGTCCGAAAGGACGACATTGGCGCTGCTCATCGCTCTCTTAAAGTCGGAATCCAGAATTTCACCCTCACGATGACGATCGTAGTCGGCGAGGAAATCAATAATTGGCACACTCCTGGTAAGAACCTGTTGCTTGACAACGGTCAGGACACGCATGATGTTCTCCTCGCTCTCCTGCTCATCTTCGTCAGGAGTATCACGAGCGAATGGTGGACACTCATTCATATCGTGCAGCTGACCCTTGGGCACCATGCTAGGTATACCATAGGATGCTGGATCGACATCATCCAAAAACTTGGTGTAAAAGAAGCCCATCTCATTGCCATAGCGATGTAACACAGCTTCGACCTCCTGATCGGAGAGCAGAATGCCATTAGTACGAAAGATTTGATTGGTCTGATTGCAGCGAACGTGTCCGCTATTCAGCCTATTGAGTTGCATAAAAGTACTGATTGAGTTAGGCTTTATTCAAATATATTGTTAGGGGATAATACTAACTTGTCATAATTGCGGAAGAAGGGATGCAAATGTAGACGGCGATTGCGAATGCGTATGCGAATCTTGGCCATGGCATCCTCACATAGTTCGCGCAGACTTAGTGGCGCTGCCTGCCAGTCGGCGGTACCAGGACGTGGCATGTCTATAATGTGTTTCAGTGGCGACTCAACATTGCATTGTGGTATTTTCTCCAAATTTTTGATGGTAAAGACTGTCGGAGAACGAAATAAGAAATAGAAGACAGTAGACAACAAAATTCAGACCCGTATCGATTTCGTCCATAAATGTGCGCCAACGTATGCGATTAGTGTCCACCGGATCCATATAACGATCCGCAAGCAGATCTAATTCACGTTGCGATATAAACTTCCCCACTCCTATATTGTGAAGGGCCCGTTCAAACTGATTCTTCGTGATGCTGCCAGTGCGTAGCTGATCGAAACACTCCAAAAATTCGCTACAGCGCACACGATTCTTATAGACAAAATTTTGGATGCAAAAGATGATATCACACTGATCACGATTCTTCTTCGGATGATTGCAAGTATCGGGAAAAATGGGGTGTATGACTTTGCAGCCATCAACTGGAGGTAGCTCCGACAGATTCAGATCAACCAGCCGGCCGGGAAAATTTTGGATAATCTCCTACAAATAATTAGAGCAGTGAACAATTGTCTGGTGTGCTGATCTACAGGACTTACCCTTGAGTTATCCAGCAACTTGTGATACTTCAGATACTCCATGATATTATCGATGTGCTTTACAAAAGCCACATAGTTGACCAGATAAGCGTCCTTCATGTAGCGCTTGAGCAGCAGCAGGAAATCAGACTCTGCGAGCGGGATTTTCATGAAGTGCAGAACGCGTGCAAAGTGAGAGACGGTGACCACGCCCACATTTCTCGCCACCTAAAACATCAATGGGGGCTATGGATACCTAAAATCTAAATTGATTTGGAAGATGATTGAGTTACCAGCTCATAGTCCTGAAAGTAGGGCATCAAAGGCAAATGCGTTTCTTGCGCAATCTTTAGGAGGATTAAAAAGAGTTTACGTCGCTCCTCTGGTTGTGGTATGACATTCAAATGCCACGGATCATTCCACTCCAGGGATGTTACCAATTCTTTCTTGGCACTTCTGTGCAAATCTGGGATATATTTAATAACAAATTGTTAACTTAATGTTTAAGCGATTAAGGTATTATATATTTTGCCTTTAATTTCCAACTCAGTTGTGTATTTTAATCAAAGTAATGTGCTATTAAAGGGATCCAATATATCTCTATACCAATATAGATCGATCGGCCAGTTAGGGTGATAACGATGTACCAATTGGTATTGAAATTTGTTCTTCACTTACCCTCGCAGCAGACCACCTTGCAGAACTGGCGATAGGCGACGCGTCCGTCCCGTATTTGGAAGTAATCGGTGATATCCCGCAACTCGAATTCGGATAGTCCGGCAACGTTGCGATATTTGGCCATTACGGCCGTGAACATGGACTCTAGGTGGTAATAAAAGTGTCATAAAATATGCTTAAGCCAAATGTCCTTAGCGGCTGTTGCACGCCCACTTACTTGATACGAATCCGGTGCAATGGGGATCATGCTGTTTCAAATCCTTGCAGATGTCAAATTTATAACGAAAAATGGCGCCTTGAATTTTACGACAGGCTCGCCAGATTTCATTCAGCTCCATGTCCTCCTGTATGTGAATAAAAGGAGTAGGCAGATGCGATGAATAGATTGAGACTTATCTTTAATGGCCCATGCATATGACCGACCAGCACTTACCCTAGCTTCGCCCTCCTTCAGCTTGGTTTTATGCATTGTGCCTTGCATTTTATGAACTCTTTTTTTTGTGTGTTATTTTTGGCTGACTTAAAATCTATTTATGTATGTTCTATGCGAAGAGACAAATGTTAAAAATAGGCAAAAATTCGTATCTGTTTTACTTACAAAATTTTATCTGAATAAAGCGAATGTGCTGCGAACACTAAAATCAGGGCATTCTGTCTCTGTCAGCTCGATTTCAAATTGGATTTTGTCTGATTTTTGCTTTAGTTTCGCTCGACCGCTGGCACGCAAGCCATTGCACTAATCACTTCCTTAAGGATGCAGTTGAGCTGGGAAGACCACACAAATGCGAGTTGCATGCACACGCACACACACACTCACACATACACACTCACACAGATTCACGCATACACATACTTAGATACTGGGATGCGGGTCAGCTACAAATCGCTTCCAATCACGCGCTCATTCATCGCCCAGTTTGTCGCAATTCTACCGCCAACACAGTTTTATTCAATTTTCTATAAATGGCAAAAAATCAGAGTGATTGAAAAAACATATCCTGGCTTCATCAAATGCAATTTCACTTTATTGGAAAATCGCTGGCCAACCAACCAAGCAAATGCGAGCAACGGAGGAGCAACCAGCATCAGCTAGCAAAAGCCATGGACAGCAGCAGCATCGTCAGCAACTCCACTCCGGCAGTCTCCATTGCCATCGCCAACGTAGTCGAGTCAAGGTTGATTGGTGACGACAGCTGCGCAGCTCACCTGCTCACTTTATGCTGGCCACTTAAGTGCTATGGATGGGGCCGGCGCATGGCCGGCGCCAGAAATGGACCAAATTTGCTTACTTTTCAATGCTTGCTCCTTTGATGCTCTTCCGGGAAATATTTTATTATAAATTTGAGAAATCTTATTTAAATCAGAAAAGTGGTTTCTAGCAATTCGATTAAAAATAGTAGGAAATATTTGTCAAAACTAATTAATAGAGATACATTAATCCACAACTTAAGGCGGTGTGATAATATTTCAAGCCAACTAAATTTGTTCTATCAGTTTGGAAGTACTTTTAGTACAAATTGTAATTTTTTGGTCTTCGAGACATCACTATCACACTCCTTACTTGGCTTTTTCTCACAGAAATCATTATCCAATAATCATTGTCCCCAGGAGATCCAATTCGTTGGCATAGATGAAATCATTCAATACGGACGGTAGATTGTTCGGAATAGCAAGAAAATGGTGTTGTAATATGGATGTTTCACATGCACATGGTTACATCACGTTAATGGCCAAAAATTGTGACTTGCGGGAAGATGGCCAGTGGCCAGGATGAGGAAAGAATACAACATGGATAAGTATATTTGATTGCTGCAAACTTGCAAACACGCATGTGTGATGCATTTATCCCTAAAAATAAATTTGATTTGATACGCTATTAAAGGTTAGTTGACCCCACATTTTTAAAATATGTTTTTCGAAGTTGCAGTTTTAAAATATGCTTTTAGTTTAAATTACATTTTCAAAGCGTCAAGATTAAAAGTACATAAGTCCACTGTAGTTGGCAGCAATCAAGAGCACTATCGGCTTAAATTTTATCTGCTGCCACACGCTGTGGAGCAGCATTTAGTCTAATCCGATATAATATGCCGTTTACAGTGCCAATCGCGGTGACAAAGTCAAAGTGCTCCACTCAGCGTTAGGTTATAAAAACGAATTGCAATCATTATCGTTGCTTAGATGAGCTTTGCAGCTGGTCGAGTGCAACCCCAAAGTTCAGGAAACACCTTTAGCGTGTGTTATATTGCTGCTTTTATTGCACATTTCTGATTTACTCCGAAACAACATTCGCGTCGTCCCTATTTGTTGGCGCTGAAATGAAAGTGTTGGGGTGTGTAATGGTGTGTGATGCGGTTGTTGTTGCACTTCTAGGCTAATTTAAAATTATAGTTTTTAGTTGTTTAAATGCACAGACAAATAAAACAAAAGGCTAGGAGGAAGAGGCAGCAGAGTGTAACGCGCTTATCGCCAACCAACATATGGCGTTCAGCTGTCAGTTCGCTTTTAATGGGTTAAGCGTAAGCCGCAACATCGCCTACACACAAATACGATTATGTACATATGTATATGTTCAAGCACACTCCTATATATAGGAGTATCGTATATAGTAGACAAAATGTTGGCATATATTCATGAACCGGCTGTACATCTGCATAATGCATGCCACCGTTGCGCGTACATTGCCTTTTATTTTACTGGCACTGCCTGGCAAGTTTGCGGCAAGCGACAGACGGTAGAGTCAGAGCCAGAGTCTCGTTTGTAGTGCACTCGGGTTCGTCTCTTTTTTTTACGTTTTGATTTTTTTTGTTTTGTTTTTGGCTGCAAGTTTCACGCGTTTTGCCTACAAACAGACTCGAACAGACACACACACACACACATGGGTGTGTGTGTATGCAGAAATACAGCAAAAGGCAAACAATGGCAGCCAACCTAGTTATCGCCCGCCATCTTTATTGCATGCAAATGTGCGAAAGGCTAAAGCGAAGGCGAAAAAGGAGGCGCGTCTGTTGAAATGGCTGACGTGCCTCCTCAGTTCGTACTGTTCCGTTCACCTGGCCATGCTTATAAAACCACATGCATATTTATCTTTGCCAGCGCCTTTGTGCGCTGCAGTTATGTGTGCGCACACACACATACATACATACATGTCTGCATTCATATATTCAGATGTCTGCATGTGTGTACTATACATATGAGTATATGCGTAAGAAATACGATATCTTAAGTGTTAAACAGGCGCTTTGCCAAACAAACTCGCGCTACAAACGAGGGCGCCAACACCTTATCTCTCTGCCTTTAAGTATGCCTTCCATGTTTTGCCACGCCCCAATCGTCGCAGTCGCCCTCCTCCTCGTCATCGCCTTCGTCGTCGTCGTCGTCATGCTGTATAAGTCGTTTGCATCGCCCTGCCTAGAAATTTCAGCAATATTTGGTAGAAAAACTCTGCAGAAAATAAATAAAAATGCTGCTCACTTCTGCTGCGGCGCGTTTTATGCGCACTTGCACATTCATACACACACACACACACACACTCAAATACAAAGGCACACACATTCGTGCAAACAGGTGTTAGCTGCGCGCCATGCGTTATTATGCCTGCCTTGTTTTCAGTTTAGAGATGGGCGTGTGCAAGTCAATTTATAAGCGAAATGGCATCATCTAATTAAAAACAATTAAATGCATAATATACATATACATAATACTTTTTTCGCCGATTTCAGTTTATAATAACATAAGCTGCACATGTAATTTGATATTTGAATTTTACGCAACGCCCAAAGAGATATTTTTCAACGAGTTCGTCTGAATTGAAATAGTTTTTTGATTTGTATTAATATGGTCGATGGACTTCATACTATAATATTTTAAACATCCTTCCCATTTAAATAACAATATTTAAATAATTTAAATATATAGTATGTGCACAAATAGGAAAAAAGCATTTATTTGTAATCTGTTCGTTTTACTAAGATTGCTCAGACATGTTTAATTGGATTTAAGTTTGGAGAGAATGCTGGGAACTTTTTAGTTTTGATTAAACACTCAACGAGATGCGTTAAGATTTTCCACTTAAATAGAATCGTGCTCTATATTGTTTGAACATTCATGGTATAAACCCATTATTATTTTCTTATATTCTTGAAAAAATGGCAGAAGATAGCCTTATTGATTAATTGTACTCATTTCTATTCACGTGAAGATGCAAAAATAAGAATTGATTGTAGTTTATACTTGTAATTAGTTGTAGTTTGTTATTAATAATTATTAATTACACAAAATTAAGATACTTTTCTATGGTTATACTTTCGGTTAGTGTGGAGACGAAGTTAAGTCGGGGTCATCAGATAGTGATCCATTACCATTATTGGCTAGAGAATGAATGAACGATAATTCAATAATTCAATTCAATAATTATTCGCATGTCTGATCATAGATTAAGTTTGCGATTCTTTGTTTGGATGAAGACAAGAAAACGGAGCAAGCGAAACAAGTTTTTTATCACGCGCCCTCCGCTAATTCCCTTGCATGCATGCCTGTATGTGTGTGTGTGTACTCTTGTGCTTCACCCGGCTCTTCAGCTTCTGCTCGTGCAGTTTGGCTTGCTGCATTTTTGTAGTGCATACTTTCAGGCGCTGGTTATAATTCCACGCCAGAGTTGTAAATATTTGTTCAAGTATTTATTTATGTACTGACTGTAATATGCTTGTGTGTTAGCTATGGCTCTCTGTTTTCGCTGTCGGTTCTCATATATATGTGTGTGTGTGTGTGTGCTTGGCATACCTGTACCTGTCTACGTTAAATTAAAATACATTGCCCCATTGCTGGCTTTTTGATTTGATGCGCCCACACACTCACACACAACTGCAAATAAATGTGCGCCGAAGCGTATTGAAAAAAGAGTAAAGAACCAACAAACCGTTGCTCTTGCATACACTTTCAATTCTTTTAATGGCATAGCTGTGGTGCCGTTAGTTTCCTTCAGTTATTTTATGTGCGGCATTCTCTGGCTGTGCACTCTGTCGAGTTTATTACCGTGGGCCATTATATTTATTCATTTTCACTGTGCCACTGTAGTTGTGCGAAAGCAATTGCTCACACCTTCTCGTTTCGCTCTGACCCCCGACCATAAATGCGCAATCTTGCGCAATTTTCATAATTTAATTTGCATTTGCCACGCTTTGTCATTCGGTACATAAAACAAAAATTGCTTTCCCTGCTGGGTGACCCATTTCAAATGTATTTTCCCATTCAACTCACCACTGCTGCACTGCTGCCTTTGAGAGAATGGCGCCAACTCTGCGTAGCTAACGCCCAACTAACTAGCTAAACTAATTGAAAATCCTTTGTCAGCATTGGCATTTTCAATTGAAGTTCGTTTAGTCACTGCAAAGGAAACCAGTGTCTGTATGTCTTTTTGTCTTGTGTGTGTGTATATTGCATATATGTGCCTGTGTGTGTGGGTGCGTGGTTGTGGATGTAAAATTGCACATCGACCGACCGCACTCCACTCGCAATGACTTCTCATGACATCGTTTCTTTGCTTCATCTTTTTCATTTCTTTTTTTGAAATTATTTCTAGCGCTCCTTTTATGATTATGCTTTTGCAGTGAGCATTCCATGTAATGGCAGCCACGTTTCTGCG